ATAATGAACTTGATGTCTATAACCATCCTGGAGCCTTCATCCAGTGACTGATGGAAGCAGAGGCAAACACCCACAGTTAAACACTGAACTGAACCCAAGGAACCCAGTGACAGAGAGGAGCGATGAGCAAATTGGCAAAGAATGGGCTGGCAAAACCAGTAGAGACAGCTGATCTGAACAAGGGGGAGCTCTTGGACCCCAGACCGACAGCTGGGAGGCCAGCATGGGACTGATCTGGACCCCCCAAATGTGAGTGTCAGCGAGAAGGCCTGGATCAGTGTTTATCCCTGGCATACAAACAGACATTGTGTGCCCATAACACAAAGAGGGATGCTCTCTCAGCCTGGACTCTTAGGGGAGTGCCTGGACCCTGCCCTGAGTGAAATGACATACTCTAGATATCCCTTATGTGGAAGGAAATGGCGATAGGGTGGGAGGCTGGGGGAGATGGTGGGGGGTACGGGAGGAGGGGAGGGGGAGGGAACTGGGATTGACATGTAAAACAAGCTATTTAAAATGAAAATAATAATTAAAAAAATAAAAAAACGTTTATTTTTGTGTATGTGTGTGCATGTTTCTGTGTGATGGCACATAGGTGGGACAGTGCTTGTATGGAGATCTGTGGAGGTCTGCCACAGGCACGCAACAAGAGGGCACCAATCCCTTGGAGCTGGAGTTCCAGGCAGTTGTGAACTGCCCAATGTGAGTCTTCTGGAAGAGTAGTAAGCACACTTAACTTCTGACCAGTATCTTCAGACCTCCCTTCTTGTTTTTGAAGCAGAGGAACTCTTGTTTGTTGCTCTGTGTACCCCAGTTGAGCTGATCCCTGAGCTTCTAGGGCATTCTCCTGCCTCTACCTCCTATCTCACTATAGAACTTTTGGGATACACACATCATTGTAAAGTTCTTACATGGATTCCGTGACCCAAACTCAGGTCATCAGGCTTAAATTGCACACACTCTTATCCACCGAGCCATCTCCCAGTATTTTATTCTTCAACTTTTTTTTTCAGACAGGCTCTCTCACTGTACTGGAAGCTCACCATTTTGGCTAGGCTCGCTGGCCAGTGAACTCCCAGGCTTCTTGGTTCTGTTCCCACAAAACTGAGGTTACAGGCATGTGCAATCATGCCCAGCTTGTATACCTGGGTGCTTGGTATTTGAACTCAGGTCCTCAAGTTTTCACAGCAAGCACTCTTCCCCATTTAATCATCTCTTCAACCCCTGTTGAATTTATTTCTTCCCTCTTTGCCTTGCATGAGTTTACACTCCTGCTCTTCTCTACAATGTCCTCTTTTTTCTTGTTTAACTGTTTCTTCTGTTCATCTTCTTATTTATTTTTATCACTTTATTTTTTTGTTCTGCTTCATGTGATTTTTTTTTACATACTAATCCCAGTTCCTTCTCCCTCCGGTCCTCCCATGTCCTCCACCAACCCCCACCTCCAACCCCCATCCACTCCCCAGGGAGGGTGAGGCCTTCGATGGGGAATCTTCAAAGTCTGTCATACTTTTGGAACAGGGCCTAGACCCTCCCCCATGTGTCTAGGCTGAGAGAGTAACCCTCTATGTCGAATGGGCTCTCAAAGTCAATTTGTAGACTAGGGATAAATACTGATCCACTACCAGGGGTCCCATAGACTGCTCAGGCCTCCTAACTGACACCCACATTCAGGGGGTCTGGATCAGTCCTATGCTGGTTTCCCAGCTGTCAGTCTGGGGTCCATGAGCTCCTCCTTGCTCAGGTCAGCTGTTTCTGTGGGTTTCTCCAGCCTGGTCTTGACCCCTTTGCTCATCGCTCCTCTCTCTCAGCAACTGGATTCCAGGAGTTCGGCTCAGTGTTTAGCTATGGGTGTCTGGTTCTTCTTCCATCAGCTACTAGATTAAGGCTCTAGGATGGCATTTAAGGTAGTCATCAATCTCATTATTGGGGAAGGGCATTTAACGTAGCCTCTCCACTATTGCTTAGGTTCCTAGTTGGAGCTATCCTTGTAGCTCTCTGGACATTTCCCTAGTGCCAGGTTTCTTGATAATCCCATAATGGCTTCCTCTATTAAGATAATTCTTTCCTTGTTCTCCCTCTCTGTCCTTCACCCAACTCGACCATCCCATTCCCTCATGTTCACCTCCCCACTCCCATTCCTTCCTCCCCTTCCACCCTCTACCCTCCTTCTCAAGATCCCAATTTACTCAGGACCCAATTACCTAGGTGGATCCAAGTATGTCTCTCTTAGGGTCCTCTTTGTTACATAGCTTCCCTGGGGTTGTGGACTATAGTCTGGTTATCATTTGTTTTATGCCTATTATCCTCTTATGAGTGAGTGCATACTACATTTGTCTTTCTGGGTTTAGGTTACCTCAGCCAGGATTTTTTTCTAGTTCCATCCATTAGCCAGAAAATTTCATTGTTTTTTTTTTTTTTTTTACTGCTGAGTAGTACTCCATTGTGTAAATGTACCACATTTTCCTTATCCATTCTTCGGGTGAGGGTCATCTAGGTTATTTCCAGCTTCTGACTATTACAAGTAATGCTGCTATGAACACAGTTGTCTGCTCGTCTCTTAAATCTTATTTTCAATAGCACAAATAATAAAAACCCAGAGACGGATATTGGAGTTAAAGCTGAAGAGCAGAGAAGCAAGCAGGCAGCTACGGGAGAATTCTCACCAAGCAATGCTCAGACAGAAGGGGTGATCCACCAAACCGCAACTGCAGTGCTCTCCACCAAAACTGACTCCCTGAGACTGCACTAAGCTCCTGCCTTGTATTCTTCTCTAGAGCTGGGATTAAAGGCATGTCATCCCAAGTGCTGGGATCAAAGGTGTGAGCTCTGTTTCACTTTTAGACTGACTCAATGTCATGCATCCCGGAGTTGCCTTGAACTCACAGAGACCCATCTGCCTTTGTCTCCTGAGTGCTGGTATTAAAGGTGTGTGCCACCACTGCCCAGCTTTTATGGTTAACTAGTTGCTTAGGTGTGTGTGGCTAACTAGTGCCTTAGCTCTTAACTAGGTGTGTAGCTAACTAGTGGCTTACCTCTGCACACTGATCTTCAGGCAAGCTTTATTTGTTAGATTACAAACAAAGTATCACTACAATTTTCTGTGTCCTCAAGCCCCCTTTCTAGTAAACTACTCATATACGAAGGGCCAAAACTACAGACCAAACCCTTCCCCCTAGCTTCCTGGACCCTAAAGCCAAAACTGAACACAAAGAAACTCCAGAGTCCCTAGGCTCCTGGACACATAGTTCCTGGAAACTGTGTTTGGCCACAGAGAAACTCCAGGAGAGACCAAAACCTCCCCTGTAGTCTCCAAGATACAGGATATTCAGTTCTGAAAAATACTGGTATTTATGTACAACAGGCCACCTGCAAGTAACAAGACAAAGCCATAGAAACCACATAAGGTTCCCTCTCAGCACCAACCAATGAGAATAATTGCCACACAGGTATTTCATGCCAAAATATGACTTTGAAAAATTCCCCTAATTGTTCCCCAAATGTCAACCAATCAGGAACCAACCCGTATTTCTCCCCTCCCACTGATGTAACCCTGCAGTTTTTTTCTTTTAAAAAAAACTAGCAGTAGACAAGGAACTCAGCTCCCTCTGGAGGCTGCTGAGTCAGCTTGCTACAAGGAGTCTCGCCTACAGTAGGTTAGAACAAAAAACCTTGTGCGTTTCCATCTGTGGGTCTGTCTCTCTGATGATCTTTGGGGGATCTTCACGACTTGGGCACAGCAATATACCTCACTTATGTCATATGTAGTCTTTGCTACAGAATCTGTCTTATTCTAGCAAGTGAGTTCATGGGGCTCTTCAGATTGTTCAACAGTTAAGTGTCCTTGCTATTCATGCAGAGAACCCCTAATTCTAGTTTCAGTGGACCCAGTGCCCTCTTCTGTCTTTCAAAGGCACTACACACGTGATGCCTATATATACTCAGCTGTCTGCGAGCAACACACACACACACACACACACACACACACACACATCCCAAACAAATACTTTAAAAGTGATTTCATGTCTGTGAACTCCCAGGCTATGTTTCAATTCTTTTTTTTCCCCTTGGGCATTCCAGGTAGTTGCTCTTCCATTGAACCATATTTCCCCCAGTCCAGGATTGGGTTAATTCTTATTTTCCCTTTTACATTTTGTTGGTTTTTTTGTTTTTTTTTTTTCGAGACAGGGTTTCTCTGTATTGTTTTGGAGGCTGTCCTGGAACTCTCTCTGTAGACCAGGCTGGCCTCAAACTCACAGAGATCCGCCTGCCTCTGCCTTCCGAGTGCTGGGACTAAAGGCGTGTGCCACCAACACCCAGTTACATTTTATTTATTTTATTCTCTGCGTGTACTTGAAGATGGGAGTCAACTCTGTCCCTCCACCACTCAGGTGGTCAGGTTTGGCAGCAGGTGCGTCCACCCACTGAGACATGTCACCAGCCCAAAAGATTATTTTAATTCTGAGATCAACCCAATATACTCTTTTGCCCATATTCATTGCATTTGTTACTACTGTTCAGCATAAAGTCGAGGCCTATGGCTATTTTATTCATTGCTATTAGCCCCTATCCTAAACAAGGTGCTTAAGAAAGTCTGTTCAGCTGGGCAGTAGTGGCACACGCCTTTAGGCCCAGCACTCAGGAGGCACAGGAAGGCGGATCTCTGTGAGTTCGAGGCCAGCCTGGTCTACTGAGCGAGTTCCAGGACAGCCTCCAAAGCTACAGAGAAACCCTGTCTCAAAAAACCAAAGACAAAGAGAGACAAAAGAAAAAGAAAGTCTGATCAAAGAATATCTTTAAATTGATCAATAAATATGAACAATGCCCACTTTAACTCAATTTATACTTTCATCTGTTTCCTTATATCAACCCAATTCTAGTTATATCACTAAAATATTGACTAATCATTTGGCCTGGCCTCGATGCATCTCAGTAATGTTAAGCAAATGTATTTGTCATTCCCATCTCCCCATTACCTACAGAATACAACTTAAAATTCCTTGGTGTAGACTCAAAGCTTTAATCTAAATTCCCTTTCTTAAAACTCTCTCATTAATTCTCTTACTATATACCAAGCACTAAGCTAGTTCCCAAGCAATTTGGAATACAAATACTCTAATTTTAACAGGGTGTGATTAGTTCTATTGGAGTCTATGAGAACACTGAGAGTTTCAGACAATGGATTATAAAACATTAGGCTTTTGACCAGCTCCAAGTTCATAAATTCAGTTAAGTCCAGCATCCAGTTCAGTGGTCATCTGCACATTTCAAGCACTTGACAGTCACACAAGGCTAGTATCTATCATATTGGACAGTATCTACCATATTCCACCATTTGTGGAAATGCGGGGTACCTACAGGTGCTTCAAAGAAAGCATGGGCCATCTTCCAAAGACTGCAAGAAACACTCTCAGAGACCAAGGACCAACTCAAACCCTCCAAATGTGCATCCTAAAACAGCACTTGCTCCAAAAACATAATGAATCAAAGTAAATTCTAATCTATTAAGTAATATAGAAATGTGACATAATAGGTCCAGTTCTTGACTTAGCTTTTTTCGTGAACTTCTCCCATCTACACAACTTGTGACACAGGGCTCTGAAAATATCACCAGGGAAGTATTTATTTCAGGGCTTAAAAATACAGATAATACCTATCTTAAAGCTTTTCATCCAGGCCCCTACTCCATCACCTGCCTTCTCTGCCACTCCACTTCCCTTTTAAAAGAAAAAAAGAAAAGATTCCAAAGATTTTAAGAAACAACAAAATGTTTACTTTTGAGACTGGGAATTATGGAAAAATCTAAATAATGGTAACCGGACTCTCCTCGGGGTCTCCTAGGAAATCAGAAGCACCTCCCTCTGCTTCCGTTCGATGCTTTCCCAGTTTAACCATCAATTCTTTCGCTGGATTGAAGACGCCATTGGTCTGCTGGTCACAGACATAGCAGCGAGAGGTGGTGCGGAAATGCTGCAGCGCACAGCTCTCGCAGAAATAATGCCTACACTTGGTGACAACAGGGTTTTGGAAGGTCTGGCGACAGATGAAACACTTGAATGGTATTTCCTCATCATCGCTTCCCACTTCGTAGTTTTCGTCCTCATAGACACCATAGCGACCCTCCTCAAGCTCTCGTTCGATCTGCCACCCGTGCTTGTAATCTGAACGGTCATGGAGGAATTTGCAGCTGTCCCCGAAGCCGCAGAAGCCAGTCTCCTTGTAGTCCTTGCAGATGTCGGGCTGGTAATCCCAGCGCACGGTGGCACGTAGATGCTCCGGAGCTCGGATGGGGCCTTTCCTCACCATCCCGGAGGAGGCATTGCCCATGGATGTATCCTTGGGCTTCACGTATTTCTGGTAATTATTGATTCCCCGGTAGATCTTGTCATCTTCCTTGCCTCTCAGCTCTTCCTGGATCTTCTGGCTCCGTTCAAAGATAGACTGTGCATCGCGCTCCTTCTCAGTGTCCAGTTCGTAGACAGCGGTCGCCCCCATGTCCTCCGGCCCCACGGGTTTTGCAGAACGGGTCGACTTATAGACCACGCCGAGACCCTCCTGTTCATTCTCGTCCTCGCTACTCAAGCCGCTGTAGGTCGCCTTCTGTTTACCGCTGCCACGCGTCTTCTGGATCATCGGATTGTGGGTCGCCTGCTTCTTCTCCGGTCGGACCACAACGCTGCCTTCGTCGCTGCTGCTGCCGCTGTCCCCGAACCCCTCATCACAGAGCCGCCGCTTTCGGCGGCCCGCCGCCCCTTTCCGCACAGGCTTTTTGAAAAGGAAGGTGCACACCTGGCCGGCCGAATTGCCTGGAGAAAGTTGCTCCGCCATTTGAGATCACCAAGCTCTGAGACAAACGCAGCGTACCCGATCGCTTCGCGTCCTCCCACTTCGTGCTCTCTGCAGCGGTGAGTCGGACCGGAGAAAAAGAAGCCGCCGATAAGTATTACCTGGAGACCAAGAACGCCAGGCAATTTTGAGCCTCTGCGGCCGCCGTCGCTTCCTCCTGAGTCATACAGAGTACCGCCCTTCCTGTGTGCTGCCGGAAGCGAGGTGAAACTCGGTCACCTTTGAGGAGCCGGTTGCTGTTTGGAGCGAGTAACGGTGCGGAGATGTGGTTCGAGATTCTCCCTGGCCTCGCCGTCATGGGCGTGTGCTTGGTGATCCCCGGGGTGTCCACTGCGTACATCCACAAGTTCACCAACGGGGGCAAGGTAAGGCGGCCTTAGTGTTCGAGGGACGGTGGAGTACGGTGGCCGTTTGGATCCGCAGCCGCTCTGTGAGGGTGAGGGCTTCTAAGTGGGTCCTCCTTGTTAGTGTTGCGTGAAAGCGGAGATGGGCACATTCCACATTTTACTTGAGCAAAGCATACGTAGATTTTGGTTAAGGAAGAGTGGCCCCCAAAGGCAACTAGCCATTCGACAGCTAGCAAGGGAGATAAGAGCCGGGCTCTAATTCCTAGGCTGAAGAGAGGGGATGTTAGTCGTGACCCCGCTCCTTTCCATCACTCATCTCCTTGTGGAAATTGTTTAATTGATGGCTGTGTTTGCACGTGATGCGTGTAGGTGCCTGCGGAGATCAGAAGAGGGCACCGGGTCTCTTGGATCTGGAGTTTGAGGAGGTTAGGAACCACCAGAAGTGGGTGCCAGGAGTTGGACTCAAGTCCGCTGCAAGAACAACGGGCACTCTTAACCAATAAGCAAGCAATCTCTCCACCCCTGGTCATTTTTACTTTGACGTGTTCGTATGTATGTGGGTGCAAGCGTGTCAACGCGCAGCTGTGGAAATCACAACTTGACGGGCCAGAATTTCTTTTCTCCTTTCACCACTGTGGGTCCAGAGGATACAACTCAGCTCCTCAGGCTTAGGACAAGGGCCTTTAACCGATAAGCCATCTGACGCCTTCACTCTGTTGATTTAATTTCTCCCATCCACAATTTGTAGCTGTTTTCTGCATCCTTAATTAATCCTGCCTCCTTTTAAACTTTTGTTTTGTTTTGTTTCTTGTTTTTCGAGGCAGGATTTCTCTGTATTGTTTTGGAGCCTCTACTGGAACTCGCTCTTGTAGACCAGGCTGGCCTCGAACTCACAGAGATCTGCCTGCCTCTGCCTCCCGAGTGCTGGGACTAAAGGTGTGCGCCACCAATGCCTAGTTCCTGCCTCCTTTTAAACTTCCCATTTACATTTGCAAGCCTTAAGGAACTCACATCATGACTTTCGTTTTCCCTCATCCCAGGTCTCCAACAGCTTCAGAATACTGTCAAATTATAATTTTTGTTTTGGTTTTATAATTGTCTTTCAGATGTAATCTACCTTTATTGTTTCTTGGGGTCACAAAGCAACAACTAGATTTCTTTTTTTCTTTCCTTAATTTTTCTCAATCTCCATGGCATGGCTTGGCCTTGAACTTGTGGGTTCCCCTGCTATTGTGTCCAGAGTGTTGGCATTGCAGGCATGAGCCACTACACCCAGCTGCCATTCTTTTAGCTTATAAAAATTAAATTTTTATTTAGTGCGTGTGCAAGCTTTCAGAAATCTGAAGACACCTTGCAGGGATCAGTTATCTCCTACCTTGTGGTACCAGGGATCTAATTCAAGTCTTCAGCCTTGGCAGCAAGCACCTTTACCTGCTGAGCCACCTCACTAGCTCACCAGGAAAACAAAACAGAGCTGGGCTTGGTGGCTCTTGCCTGTGATCGTAGTACTCAGGACTGGAGGTCAACCTGGGGCTATGTAGTAAGTTCCAGGAAAGCCTGGTGAACTACAGTGAGGCCAGGCTCAAAAAAAAAGTTAAAGAGAAAAGACAAGGAAGAAAGAAAAAAATTCATGGTGTTGCCAAAAAAAAAGTAAGAAGTCAGTTACCAACTTAATCCCAAATATCAATGGTCCTGTTTTGTTTAGGAGATTTGACTTTGTGTTGTCTGATTAGCTTTTGTTTCAACAATGACTTTTTTCTAGTGAATCATTTCTTTTTGTAAAAATTTATTTTTATTATTACTTACATGTATGTGTGTCTGCTTCTGTCTGTGTACACCATGGAGATTATAAGATACCAGATTCCCCCTCCCTGGAATGGAATTAAAGGCAGTTATAAGTCTCCTACCCCACACACACACACACACACAAACAAAACATGGTAGTGCTGGGAAATCAGTTGCATACCCAGGAATAGCTCCCAGTTTGTCATCTTAGAAAAATTATGAATGTGCCTTTTTACTGGCCACTCAGATTTATAAACTGCATTGTCCTTTATTTGAAGGAAAAAAGAGTTGGTCGCCTTCGTTACCAATGGTATTTGATGGAAAGAGATAGACGCGTCTCTGGAGTCAATCGCTACTATGTGTCCAGGGTAAGGTGACTGAAAGATGGTGGTGAGTTCTGGAAATGCTTTGCCTAAGTTCATACAGTACTTATTTAATCTATATGTTTTTTACTAGTGAAGTACGCAGTCTTTTACACATATAATGAACTTTGTTGATGTATTGTATGTGTGTGATGTGCATTCATGCATGTGTGGGTACACCTGCTCATGAATGTGTATATGGAGGACACTCTCCCATTTATTAACTTGCTTGTTTGCTGTTTGTTTATTGTCTAAGCAGGGTCTCAGTATTTAGCCTTAGCTTGCCTGTAACCTGCAATGTAGACCAAGCTGTTGTTAAACTCACTGATCGGCCTACATATGACTCCTGAATTCTGGAATAAAATGTGTGTAGTACCGGGCCTGGCTATTTATTTATTTATTTTAAAATGTTCATTTTTGTGTGTGCCCTGGTGCATATGTGGAGATTAGAGGACAGCTTGTGGGAGTCAGCTCTCACCTTTCACCATGTAAGTCCCAGGATCAAATTCAGGTCCTTAGTCTTCGTGGCAGGCACCTTTCCTCATGGAACCATCTTGCCAGCCCTTTCAAGGCTTATTTAAAGAGTTTATATAGCTGTCATGGCAGCACGTGCTTGTAATCCTAGCCCCTGGAAGGCTATGGCAGGGAAATCTATGAATTTGATACTAACTTGGACTACATAGTAAGATCCTATCTCATAAAACAAAACATAAAAAGAATTAATATAATTTATATATGATTGGATTCTATGAAACTGCTATTTTTATAGGTCAAAATAAAAATAGCCAAGTAGCGTTTTAATATTATTCAGCTTGATGCTATATTTTTAACTTGTAAAATGATTTTGCCCTTAATTACTTGTTTGTTTGTTATTAGAGACAGGGTTTCTCTGTGGCTTTGGAGCCTGTCCTGGAACTAGCTCTTGTAGACCAGGCTGGCCTCACAGAGATTCGACTGCCTCTGCCTCCGGAGAGCTGGGATTAAAGGTGTGCACCACCAATGGCCTTAATAACTTTTAAATTTATTTATTTATTTATTTACTGTGTGTGTGTGTGTGTGTGTGTGTGTGTGTGTGTTTGCATGGGAATGCTGGGTACATGGGAAGGCAGGGGACAATCTGAAGGCAATCAGTTCTCTCCCGTAACCCTGTGGGACACATGAATCCAACTCAGGTTGACAAGTCTGCATGCAGGTGCCTCCTGCCACTGAGCCATCTCTCTGCCTCTCACCCTCATAATTCTTTCAGTTCCTTAAGTCACCTAGTGTTTGCTGCTACTCCACAGATGCCCCACAATGAACCTAGGTACATTTTGTGTTCGTTTTATAAATGAGAAAACATGGTTAGAATGAGTAAAAAGTATTGCAGGGCCTCAGTTCAGTGCTATCTGAGAATCAAATCTCATGGACATAAAGGTAGATACTAAGTAGCTGCCTTTTTTAAGTCCATGGTTTGGTGTTCCATGGTTTCATTTATCCCAACTGTGTCATTTTCATACCTGGAAGGAATATCATTACTTACCTCTAGTAGAGTCTTAAGCATTGTGAAAGATTTTTTTGGTTTTGCTATTGCTTTCGTTAGGCAGGTACTTGAAACATAGCCCTGGCTGGTCTGGAGCTTGCTGTGTAACCTAGGGTAACCTTAAACTCAGAGCAAACTTCCTGCCCTTGCCTCCCCAAGTGCTGGGATGATGATTACAGATGCAATACTATGTCCACTTTAGAAGGTCTTTGGATGTTTATTATGCAAGCTTTTGGAGTTGGAGGTAATTGAATTTTGGCTCTGCTGCTAATTGATTTAGGGAAGTAATTTTTGTTTTCTTGATGCAGAATCAGGTGATTTCTAACTTCTTTAATTTTCTACTTCATCATCTATGAAGAATTTTAATGAGGATAACGGTATTTATCCAGTGTTTGGTGCTGTTTTGTGAGACAATTTAACTGTCTGTGTTCTTTAATTCATGGAAAAGCATGTGTATTGGATCCAGAAGGTGAATAACTGATTGACCAGTTAGGGTGAAGAAAAGGTCTTTTCATATATATGTGTTTGCTTCTGTCAGAAAATGAAGTGAACCAGGTATAGTGTTCACCCTACCTAGTATTTGTGAGGTGGAGGCAGAAGAATCAGTAGTTTATATAGGGAGTTACATAGGGAGTTTAAGAAGCACTTGGATTACATGAGACCTTGGAACAGTGGCACACCTTTAATCCCAGCACTCTGAGGAAAAAGGCAAGTTAATCTCTGTGAGTTTGAGGTCACCTAGGACTGTGAAGCGAGACCCTGTCTCAAAATGGGGGGGGTCCTTAAAGGTCATTTAATGATTTTGAAATCCAATTCGGTTTATATTGTTGCAGTTAGAGAAATGTGGCATGTGAAATCACTTGCTTTAATAACAAAGTGCCAATCTGTGACGCTGGAAATAAACAGCATGGGACATTTGTTGATGGGAACAAAATCCTCACATTCTCCTTTTCAAACTGTTTTTCAGGGCTTGGAGAACATTGACTAGAGAAGCATTTTCCTGGCTGATGAAAAAAATTACTCAGCTATTCATCTATTCCTGCTAGAAGGCAAATGCAGCATATTATATACTATGCGCATGTTATATAATGCTTAATAAAATTTAAAGAGTATAAGTAATTTTTCCTTTTTTATGAAGTAAAGTTGGGGTTTACTAAATATACTTTGCTATAGACATAAGCATGAAGGTTGAGAGAGAAATAGAAGCACTCTGAAGAAATTAAGACACATCTAAACACATAGTGTAGAGTATGGGTGCGGACATCTTGGAGAGTCTCTTTCTGTTACAGCAATCATATATAGTATTTTGGTAGGTGTCTTAGGGTTGCTGTTGCAACGATGAAACATCATGACCAAAGATAACTGGGGAGGAAAGTGTTTATTTATTCATAGTTCCATATAACAGTTCATCATCAAAAGTAGTGAGGCCATGAACTCACAGGACAGGAACCTGGAGACAGGACTTAATACAGAGGCCATGGAGGAGTGCTGATTGCTGGCTTGCTCTCCATGGCTTGTGTAGTTATTGTCTTATAGAACCCAAGACTATCAGCCCATGGTGGCACAATGGGTTGCCCCCACCGTATTGATCACTAATTAAGAAAATGCCCCCACAGACTTGCCTACACTCCAATTTTATGGAAACATTTTCTAAATTGAGGCTCTCTGATGGATCTAGCTTGTGTCAATTTGGCATAAAACTAGCCAATATAGTAGGTTTTGAAGTTACTGTCTTTAAAGGGTTGCTAAGAAACCTAAATGATTTCATAGATTGGTTCTGGGGAATTATAATCCAGATTATAGTGGCAAAGTAAAAGTTTAAGGTTTTTCTTGCTGCGAATAGATGTCATGACCATGGCAACTTATGTAAAAGAAAACATTTAATTGGGACTGGCTTACAGTTCAGAGGTTCAATCATTATTATCGTGGTGGGAAGCATGTTGGCGTGCAAGCAGACGTGGTGCTGGAGAGGAACTTCAAAATTTTACATCTGGATTCACAGACAACAGGAAGAGACTGAAACACTAGGCCTGATTTGAGCTTCGGAAACATCAAAGCCCACTCTCAATGACACACTTCCTCCAATAATGCCACTCCCTGTGGGTCTATGGGGGTCATTTTCATTCAGACTACCACAGTTATCTTCACTCTGAATGTTAGTAGCCTTGTTTGACATGCCTAGAAAATGTTCGGTTCCTACCCAAGGTCATGCACATACATCCATGACTTAAGCTTGGTTCACTATTTTAACATCTATATATAAAGGAACATTATTCCTTTTATTCCTTTTTAATTTAAATTAGAAACAAGCTTGTTTACATGTCAATTCCAGCTCCGTTTCCCTCCCTTCCTCCCCTGCCACCCACTAACTCCCTACTCCATACCCTTTCTACTCCCTAGGGAGGGTGAGGCCTTCAGTGGGGGATCATCAAAGTCCAACCCCCCCCCCAGTGTGTCTAGGCTGAGACAGTATTCCTCTATGTGGAGTGGGCTCCCAAAGTCCACTCAATAAAGGAACTATTCTTAATGTCGACAAGCTTTACAGCAAATTTTATTCTTTTGCTGAGATTCTTCTCTCCTGAAAAGAGGTTTCAGTCAGACTCCAGGGCTCTATTCCTATGTCCCCATAATTGTCCATTTCTATCCCGTCTCAATTTCCTCCTCTGAGACTTTGATCTCTTAAGAGTTGCAAAAATAAAAATAAAAATAAAACCCCTTCTGAGACTTCTGTATTGAGCAAGAACATAGACCTTACCTATCAAGGGATCAAAAGTCTGAACCAGAGCTGGAGAGATGACTCAATGGTTAAGAGCACTGAATGTTCTTCAGAGGACCTGAGTTCAATTCCCAGCACATGGTGGCTCACAACTGTCTGACCTGACACCCTTACACAGGCAAAACACCAAAACAAGTCCCAATCAGATTGCCAAGAGGACTCAGCTGGTAAAAATGCTAGTCTTGCAAGCCTGATTATCTGAGTTCAATACACAGAGCCCCCATTATTTATTATTTTTATTTTAAAAATTTATTTTTCATTTTATATACCAACCCCAGTTCTCCCTTCCTCCTCCCCCACTCCCACCCTCTGCCTCCCCCCTTCTTATCCCCATCCATTCCTCGGAGGGCATAAGGCCTTCCTTGGGGAGTCATCAAAGTCTGGCCTACCAAATTGAGGCAGGACCAAGCCCCTCACCCCTATATCAAGGCTGAGCAAGGTACCACACCATAGGGAATACACAGCCCACGTTTTAAAAAAAGAAATTAGGGCTGACTGGAGAGATGGTTCAACAGTTAAGTACTCTCACTGCTTTTGTAGAGGACTTCAGTTCAGTCCCCAGCATTCATGTTGGATGATTACAGCCATCTATACCTCCAGGTCCAGAGGATCCAACATCTTGTGTATTCCAGTGGTACCAGTATTCACTTATGCACATACTTACACACACAATTTTAAAAAATTGGATATGGTGGCATGCATCTGTAATTCCAGCACTCTGATTTCAAGATAAGAAGTACAGACAGTAAATCACCTTGAATCCTGAGACCAGCTAGCCTGAAGTATGAAGCTTGGCAGAAACAAGAGGAAACCCAGTCTCAAAACAAGGAGGAAGGAGAAACACTATAAATTGTCTTTCGCATGCACAGCTAAACTCAAACAGTGACATTATGCACTCATCCACACATGCACACAACAATAAGTTTTTTTAAAGTCTCAATTTGCCTGGTCTAAGGAGTACATGAGCAGGTATGACCTTAGGAGTTAAAGTGTCGCTGGACGATGGTGGTTCACACCTTTAATCCCAGCACTCAGGAGGCAGAGGCAGGTGGATCTCTGTGAGTTCTAGACCAGCCTGGTCTACAAGAGCTAATTCCAGGAAGCCTCCAAAGCCACAAAGAAACCCTGTCTCAAAAAAACAAAAAAAAGAGAAGTTGAAATGTCATTATTTGAAGGAAGAGAGATCACCACTAAAGACATCAGATATAAATAATTGTTCTGATTAAGGTTAATATAAAATATACCAGGGTCTTTTATTACTGATGTCTGATAACCATGATGTTGGTATAATACTAAAATCTAAGATAGGGGCTTTAGGGGTGGTCCAAGAGTTAATAACATTGGCTATTGTAGATGATCCAGGTTCAGTTCACAGCACCCACATGGCAGCTCACAGCCTCTTGCTCCAGTTCTAGGGGATCTGACATCCTCTTCTGGCCTGCAGGAGCATAAGGTATGCAAGTGGTCTACAGACATTCATGCAGACAAAGTGCCCATACACATAAAACAAACAAGCGCAATTTGATAAAGGCTTTTTTAAAAAGAGCTCTGGCTGTTATAGAACTTGCTTTGTAAACCAGGCTGCCTCCCAAGTGCTGGGATTAAGGGTGTGTGCCACCACCACCTGGATGATAAAGGCATTTTGAAAACCTCTGTAATAAAAAATATTTGAAATTAAAAAAACTGGGTAAGATCAAGCAGTTGGGGCTAGAGAGATTGCTAAGCCATAAAGAGTGCTTACTATTCTTATAGAGGACTCAAGTTCAGTTCCAAGCACATACCAGTTGCTTCAAACCACCTGTTTGTAACTCCAGCTCCAAAGAAGCCAATTCCTTCTTCTGGGCTCTATTGGCACTGTAGTGGTTAGAAAGAAAATGGCCCCCATACGGAGTGGCACTATTAGGAAGTGCAGTCTTGTTGGAGGGTTTGGCTCTGAGGTCTCATATATGCTCAAGTATACTTGGTGTGGCACACAATTCACTTCCTGTTGCCTGCAGATCAGGAGGTAGAACTCTCAGCTCCTTCTCCCACACATGTCTGCCTGTGTGCTGTCATGCTTTCAGCCATGATGATACTGGACTAAATCTCTGAAACTGTAAGCCACCCCCAATTACATGTTTTCTTTTCTAAGAGTTGCTGTGGTCATGGTGTCTCTTCACAGCAATAAAGCCCTAAGACAGGCACCCATACACAAATACACATAAAAAAGTATTCAAGGCCAAGCAGTCTGGAGTTATTGCTTGAAAACGATAGGGCTGGAGAGGTGCCTCAGCAGGTAAGAGCACTGGTACTGGATGCTCTTACACTGGATCTTGGTGCCCAGCACTCGTGTACATTTGTAACTCCAGTTCTAGAGGGAATGATGCCCTTTTCTGGCTTCTCTAAGTACTGCATGTATCTGATGCACAGACATACATGCAGAAAAAACACCCATTCACATAAAGTATAAAACATTGTAAAAAGAATACAATTAAGGCATGTAAAATTACTGGTGTGTGATGTTTTATTCTTTACTCCAGGCTTTTTGGGGAGGCCCACCAACCTGCTCCCAAATAAATCACACACGGAGGCATATTCTTAGTTATGAATGCCCGGCCTTAGGTTGGCTTGTTTCTCGCCAGCTTTGCTTAAATTATCCCATCTATCTTTGGCCCTGGGGCTTTTTTCTTTTTCTATTCCTGCATATCTTTTCTTGCCTTCTTACTCAGTATCTGGCTATATATAGCTGGATGTCTGGGTGGCTGGGTGGCTGGGTGGCTGGGTGGCTGGCCCCTGAAGTCCTCCTCCTTCCTCTCTCTTTCCCCAATTCTCAGATCCTTTCTCCTGGATTTCTCCTCATATATATTCTCTCTGCCTGCTATCCCCACCTATTCCTCTCTCCTGCCTAGCTATTGGCTGTTCATCTCTTTATTAGACCAATCAGGTGTTTTAGACAAGCATAGTAACACAGCTTCACAGAGTTAAACAAATGCAACATAAACAAAAGTAACACACCTTAACATAATATTCCCCAACATACTGGCATAATGTGTACTGAACAGAATCTCTGCATGAGCATCTAATACTTCATGAATGCTATTACAATGACCTTTGTAATGGATATTAAGATATTTATAGTTCTTCAAAAATGAATAGAAGAATATGGAAACATATTTTCCCCTATTCTTTTTCTGAGTGGATCTCATAGAGTTCAAAATTCTAGTTAACATCCTGGGGATATAATTCAGTGGTAGAGTGCTTGCCTAGCATTTGCCAGGCCCTGGCTTTAATTCCAACTTTTGTATCATCTATTGATTTATTCCTAGGTAGGAGGACACCTGCCTCCCATGTGATGGGATTACAAGCATGTACCACCATAGTCAACTGCTAGTTTCCTTTTAATGTCAATATTCTACCTTCCCCACTAGACTGAGTCATTCTAGGAAGAGGATCTGACTTACCTTCACAGTTCCTGCTGTGTACACATGCTGCAGGTACCCACTGTGTATGGACTGGAAGGATGGAATCACTTGACAAGAGAATATCATCATCTGGCCCGAACCTCACTGCTGAGTACCACCAGCTTTACAAGGCATAAGCAGGAGAGGAGGAGGGTAAGAAGATAGAGAAGGGAGAGTGTGATGTGGCAAGTGTTACAGTAAAAAAAAGTCAGTGGTTCTAACCCTTCCTAATGCTGTGACCCTTTAATACAGTTCCTCATGTTGATGGTCTACACAGTGGTTCTCACCCTTCCTAATGCTGTGACCCTTTAATACATTCCTCATGTTGATGGTCTACACAGTGGTTCTCACCCTTCCTAATGCTGTGACCCTTTAATACAGTTCCACATGTTGATGGTCTACACAGTGGTTCTCACCCTTCCTAATGCTGTGACCCCTTAATACAGTTCCTCATGTTGATGGTCTAGACAGTGGTTCTCACCCTTCCAAATGCTATGACCCTTTAATACAGTTCCTCATGGTGATAGTGTACACAGTGGTTCTCACCCTTCCTAATGCTGTGACCCTTTAATGCAGTTCCTCATGTTGATGGTCTAGACAGTGGTTCTCACCTTCCTAATGCTGTGACCCTTTAATACAGTTCTTCATATTGATGGTCTACACAGTGGTTCTCACCCTTCCTAATGCTGTGACCTTTAATACAGTTCTTCATGCTGATGGTCTACACAGTGGTTCTCACCCTTCCTAATGCTATGACCCTTTAATACATTCCTCATGTTGATGGTCTACACAGTGGTTCTCACACTTCCTAATGCTGTTATCCCTTAATACAGTTCCTCATGATGATGGTCTAGACAGTGGTTCTCACCCTTCCTAATGCTGAGACCCTTTAATACACTTCCTCATGTTGTGGTGACCCCAACCATAAAATTATTTTCACTGTTGCTTCATAACTGTAATTTTGCTACCGTCATGAATCGCAATGTAAATACCTCCTGTGGGGGTGGGGGGTCGTGAACCACAGGATAAGAACCACTGGTGTAAAGGAAGGGTGAGTGCAAAGTCGTGAAAGAATTCACATGAATGCAGGGACCCAGTGGAAAGGAAAATTTAAGGCCTAAAGTGTAAAGTCCTGAAGAGGAGCCTCACAGTGTTCTCTCCATGCCCGCTGATGTAGTCCACTCCTGCTTAGGAGCTTGTGCTGCTTACTTACGTTTGTCAACTTGACACAGCTAGAATCACCTAGAAAGAGGGAGAGGTTCCCCCATCAGATTGCCTGTAGGCAAATGTGTTGTCATTCTCTTGACTGGTGATTGACGTGGGGGTACCCTATCCATAGTGGGTGGGGCCACCCCTGGGCATGTGGTCCTGGATTGTGTAAGAAAGCAGGCTGAGTAAGCCATGGAGAGCATGGAAAGCCAGTAAGCAGCTTTCTTCCACGGTTCTTACCTCTGCTCCTACTCTGACTTCCCTCAGTGATGGACTGTAATTGGGACTTGTAAGCCAAACAAACCCTTTCCTCCCGAAGTTATTGTCAGTGTTTTATCATAATGATAGACGGAAAGCAACTAATGCAGGACCTGAGTTTTTGTCAATTCAAGAATTTAACACAGTGGAGACCTGCAGTGTTCTCTGGTGAACACAGTATCCTTGACAGAGTGTCCCTCTACTTCCCACACTTGGACCAAGCAAGGCACTGACTTCCTCTCTTCACTGGAGTTCTCTCCAGCACTGGACAGTACGGGCAGTACAGCAGAGACCGTGCAGGGCATGTACAACTGTCCTTGGGATCAAATGGGACAGGGACTTACCTTGACCTGCCCTGCCACATGCAAAGTCAGCTTCCCTTAGAATAGGGAGGAAGTATCCCATGGAATTTGGCAGCATCATGCCTTGTGTACAGACAGATTCCACCTTCTCACAGGTAAATGCCAGTGCATTGCTCCATCGCTGAACCATGAGCCAGTGGGGGTCCTGCTCTATGTAGGGTCGAGTCCAGAAATGGAGTTCTAGAGTGCCAGACACCCTAGGCACATTGAGGGTGGGGTGGGGGGAGCAGAGAGAGTGGCTTGGTGGAGGAATGAGGCCTCCCAGGCAAGGGGAGATGGCTGAGCTTCCAGGGGACAGCTTCTCCTCTGCCTTCTTGCTGCTCTGACCGCTCTCCCCTATTCTGCTCTCCCATTCCTTCCCACGCAGCTGAATTGGCATTAGAGCTGGCCCAGCTGGGAGGAACGTGTCCTCAGTGCTGCATGAGATGTCTCTAATCTGCTGAGCACCACAGGGGAGGTGTCCAGAATTGGTCTGCATCTTCCCTTGGCATAAATGAAGTTTTACCTCCTGCTACAATGAAAAAGCCTGTTTATGCTGCCGGGAAATCTCTTGTAGTTCTGCCCATGAAGACATATTTTCCCTACAAGGAATTAACTGTCAATTGCCTTCATGTCTTTCTCGGATAATCATGAACCTACTTCCCGAGGGCTGGAGAGATGGCTAAGCAATTAAGAGAACTTACTGCTCTTGCCAAGAAGGCTCCCAACATCTTCACGGTATCTCATAGCTGCCTATAACTCTAGCTCCAAGTGATCTGACACCTTCTCCTGGCCTTCAAGGGCACCTGCACACACATGGAATACATACAGACACACATATAAAAATAATAAACCATATTAATTACTTTTCTATTGCTTTGATAAAACAGCATGACCAAGACAGCTTACAGAAGCAAAGGTTACTTGGAGCTTATGGTTCTGGAAGGATGAAAGTCCATCACCATCATGGCAGGGAGGAGGCATGGCGGCAAACACCAAGTATGGCAGCGGGAGCAGCTGCAAGCTCACATATCAAACCACAAGTAGGAAAGAGAAGAACATGCTGGGAATGGTGGGACTCTGAACTGTCAAACCCACCCCCAGTGACATACTTCCTTCAGCAAGGACACGCCTCCTAATCATACCCAAACAGTGACACCAAACTGGGGGCCAAGTATTCAAATGCCCGAGAATAAAAACTCCTACTTCCAATTTCTCACACCAGGTCCTCTCTACGTGTCTCTCACCCACTGTCCCAGGGCCTCGATGTCCTCTAATTTGTGGTGATCCATCTGCTTCTGCTTCCAGAGGCTTAGGATTTCAGATGTGCATTAACACCCCCACTCAGCTCTACTTACCCTGTCTCGAAAAACCAAAAAAAAAAAAAAAAAAAAGACTAGGGTCACATTTTCACTTCATCAGATAAGACCATTCAAATGCATACCAATAAAAAATATCACTGCAGCCAGACACTGGTGGAGGAGACTATTATCATGTTTCATGGCAAGATCTAATGAAAAGCTAACTTAAGGAAGACACTTCTGAATAACTTAAATTTCTCCCTTCTAAGCTTCTCTCACGATCATGATGAAACTCAAGTCCATGCCATTCTGCTGATTTCCAGAAACAAATAAAAATATTCAGGTGACTCCATATCCTAAGTATGAGAGTACATTTAGAATGTAGCAGCTCTTCAAACAAAAATCCTAGAGAAAAACCAATGTCATCTAATATATTCAGTATTCATTATGTGAAGTGTCAAGTGATTATTCTAGGTTTTCATTCTTTAAAATTATCAGAAAATCCCTTTCTTTCGGTTCTAAATGTAATAAATTTAGAAGATAATTATGCTATGAATTCATAAATAATAAATGTCTGTTGAGTACCTTTAATTAAATAATAGGAAAATGAAATATCAATAACCAATACACTCAATCAGCTCCATGAAATGAAGAATTCATATCTACTCAGCAACAAAAGAAGGACTAAGCTTTTTAAAAAATTAATTTAGCCGGGCATTGGTGGCGCACGCCTTTAATCCCAGCACTCGGGAGGCAGAGGCAGGTGGATCTCTGTGAGTTCGAGGCCAGCCTGGTCTACAGAGCGAGTTCCAGGACAGCCTCCAAAGCTACAGAGAAACCCTGTCTTGAAAAACCAAAAAAAAAAAGAAGGACTAAGGGAACCGGTACCCTCCAAACAAAAATCCCCAAACACCAAAGTTCTTAAACTCTCAGCACTTTCTATTGGCTAAAGTGTGATTAAATAAAAACACTGAATTATTAAGTGAGTTTACTCACTAACAGAAAAGTAAAAGCTGCAATTTCTAGTCCATCCCAGAAGAACAGAAATTGGAAGATAGAAATGCAGTCAGTTTCAGGTGAACATATGATGCATAATGGGCTTCACTAAAAAAAATCTGAATTAATAATCTCAGCACTCAGGAGGCAGGCAGATCTCTGTAAGTTCGAGGCCAGCCTGTTCTATGAAGTGACATCCAGGAGAAACCCTGTCTTGAAAACTCAAAAAAAAAAAAATATATATATATATATATATATACATAAATCACTAGGAGTCCATCTGAAACCACGCAAAGGCCAGCCTGAGTCCTGGAGACTGGGGCTAGTGGGAAGACATCTGAGGACGGGCCCATGCACAGGTGGATCCCATTGTGTTGAGCAAGTATGTGGTGGAGAAATGGGAAAGAGAAGTAGAACGGTTCATGTGCTGTGGAAAAATGCGGAATGAAAGAAGTGTAGGCAATGAGGAGTAGGCTGAGTTTGGAGGCCTTCTTGCCACCTAGGGCCATGGTTGTGGGATATTTTGATGACATTCTGAAAGTCCCGAGACTGCCAGCACATGGTTATTAGAAAACCAACCTTAATTTATCCAGTTGCCATTCAAGAATGATACCAAATGACATGCACCCCCAAGGCTATTCAGAATTTAACTGGGATCCTATATATACTTTCTGTCATGCTATTAATGGTCATATAGAGTACTAACTAATTCTAGAAAAAGACCTCATCTAGCTTTCTGTATATGATTTCGGGCTTCAGTCTGAATCAGGTAACTAGGAACTAAGTTTGTGTACTCTGGATGTACTTAACAAATTGTGATACTTTAACCTCTCTGAGATCTGCTGCATATGACATTTAAAATGTTTGCGTTTTCTGTAGTAAGCCATGACCATTCCTAACAGTGACCTTTAAAGTCTCCAAAAGGATGATGGGACCCCACAATGACAATTCCACCTGGATTGTGGTAATGTCACTAAACTGACAAACACCACCCAAAGATCAGCTTTGGACTACAAACTGCTCAGGACAATTTCAAGGCAGCTAGCTTAGAAGGTCCAGCCTCATAGACTATTCCAGTCAGGACCTCAGATAAGCCCTGCATGTTCCCATCACACTGAGCCTGGACAACAGCTAGCTTTCCCGGGACTTGATCATTGTCTCAGTTTTCTCAGGGTTCCCTAAAGATTCTATCCTTCAGGTGGCCCTGTGTTCTCGCTTCCCACCATACATCCCCATTGTCCAATTTCAGGTGGCTGGCTCCCTCTCCCTGTGGGTTGCAGGCTCCCCTGGGACCCCTTCTTGGTCTGCTACAGCACCAGGTCAGCTGCCTCAACACCCACTCAGGCTTTTACTGTTGCTGCCACCACCACACATTCTGAACCCCCAGCTACATGGGGAGTTAGGTCTCTGTATGGTTCCACAATGGATAGTTTGAAAATGGAAACATTAAATGAAGGGATAATCACCTTAGCTTGGATTGACATAATGTTGATTATAATCATTATCGGTTTGGTAATTCATGTTTTATCCTTTAAAAAGTTGTTTGATATCAGTGCCAAATATGAAAAATTGACTGATAAGATACAATTCTTAGAAAGGCCTACTAATGGCATGGTATGGTGGCTCATACCTTTAATTCCAGCACTCAGGAGGCAGAGGCAGGTGGATCTCTGTGAGTTTGAAGCCAGCCTGGTCTACAAAGTGAGTTCCAAGACAGCCAGAACTGCTACACATAGAAACCCTGTCCTGAAAAACCAAAAAGAAACAAGAAATACCTACTAATGTAGCTAAGAAAAATATTCACAGAGAGAGAGAGAAGAGTTTGGAGTAGAACCTACCACACCATTGCTTATGAAACTAAAGAGGAGCTGCCCAATTCTCCACTGCTTCTCTGATCATTCAGGCTCTTACCCTGATACCTGACTTTTTATTGATAAAGACTACTTAGATAAACACTTCACATGGTGATGTCCAAGCCCGGACTGCTGCCAAGAGCCATGTGTAAGTCTGTGGTCTGTGTGGCCATCCATGGACCATGTTGCCACCAAAGGAAAAAAGGATGTCCAATGTCTGGGGCTGCCACTGGTGTTCACGTAGGTGTTCAAGAGCTGTGCTGCTTCTGGCCCCACACTGATTGTGGTGTCCTATGCTGCCACCCAGGGCCATGGTGTCATCTAGGCCTGAACTGCTGCTGAGGAGAATGTCTGGGTCCATGGCTCTACTGCAGTCAGGGACTGTGTTGATGTTCATGGCTCCTGTTGCCATGAGGGCCACCATCTGGGCCCATAGTGGTGTCCAGGCGTGGAGATACCCCTGGGACCATGCTAATCTGGGTGGCCTACACTACCACCTGGGGCCATAGTGACATCCAGACCTGCACCGCTGCTGAGGACCGTGTCTGGGTCCGTGGTCCTATGGCAGCGAGGATCTGTGTTGAAGTCTGTTCCCATGTGGCCATCAGGGGCCATGAAGAGGCCCAGGATCTGGGACACAGCCTGTGACCTTGTTGGAGTCTGGGGGCCATGCTGCAGCCAGACCCATACAGATCTGAGTGCCCTGTGCTACTACCCAGGGCCTCGGTGACCTCTGGGCCAGGGCTGCAGCTAAGCACCATGTCTGAGTCCGTGGCCCTACTGCAGCCAGGGTCTATGATGCTATCTGTGGCCCTTGTTGCCATCGAGGGTCATGCAGATTCCTGGGGTCTGGGTCACCACCTGGGGGTGTGTTGGTGTCTGAGAGCCAAGCCGCCACAGGAGCCATGCCAGTCTAGGTGGCCCACACCATTACCTGGGGCAGTGATGACATCCAGATCCAGGCTGCTGCCAAGGGCCGTGTCTGGGTCCATGGTTCTACTGCAGCCAGGGTCTGTGTTGGAGTACATGGCTCCTGTTGTCCCCAAGTGCTGTGTGGCTGCCCTGGGTCAGGTCAACCATCTGAGTCCATGTTGGTGTCTGAGGGCCATGCTCAAGTCAGGGCCATACTGATCTGTGTGGCCTGTGCTGCTACCCAGTGCCATGGTGACAATCAGGCCCGCAGCTGGGGGCCGTGTCTGAGTCTGTGGCCCTGCTGCAGCCAGGGTCTATGTTGATATCTAAGGTTCCTATTACCACTGAAGGCCATGTGAATGCCCAAGATCTGGAGCCATGTTAGTGTCTAAGGGCCATGATGCTGCCGGGTCTGTCCTGATCTGAGTGGCCGGCACTGTCACCTGGGGCCATGGTGACATCCAGACCCAGAGATCTGGCTGCTGCCGAGGACCATGTCTGAAACTGTGGTCCCACTAGAGCCCGAGTCCAAGTGTCTGTGTTGCCACCAGAGGTTACATGGAAGCCTAGGGTAGAAGCTATAATCTATGGCCTTGTTGGTGTGGGTGTGAAGGGGTACCTCTAGAACCATCCTGATCTGAGTGGCCTGTGCTTCAACCTAGAGGCAAAATGTCATCTGTGCCCAAACTGCTGCCAAGGGCCATGTCTGGGTCTGTGGTCCTACTGCGCCTGGGGTCTGTGTTGATGTCTGTGGCCCATGTCAACATAGGAGGCCGTGGGAATCATGTGTGATGGAATCAGAGGGCTGTGCTGAGCAGGCTCTGCCCTTCACTGGCCGTGGGATAACCGGCCCTACCACTCGGTGGATGCTGCGGCAAGAGAGCTGGGGCCTCTGAAATTGAGAGATGGCCCTGCCCCTCACAGCAAGTCGGGGAGAGCTGACCCTGATGGCGTGCGCCTAGGGGAGCTGGCTCTGTCCCTTGCCTGAGGAAGTCAGCCCTGGTGGCCTGGAATGACCAACTCAGCTACCACTCAAGCCCACAGGGTTGGCTCACCTAACATCTACACCATCTAGGACCTGCTAGTCCTGAAAAAAGACATCCGCAGGATCTCCATTACTTGGGGCAGCTGCAGGATGGATATCTCAGGAGTTCCCATGAGGATCCAGTGAGGATGGTGTACCAGAAGCCAGAGGCCTTGAACCAGACCAGTGACTCATTGTAATGAACATTTGCAAGTAAAGCTGATCGGACACTTCGGCTGCCAATGCCACCAGGACGAATGAAGAGGCAGGAAGATGGATGAAGATGCTTTTCTTTTACAGATTTATTTATTTATTACATATACAGCAGATTGAATTGTAGATGGTTGTGAGCCACCATGTAGTTGCTGGGAATTGAACCCAAGACCTCTGGAAGAACAGTCAGTACTCTTAACCTCTGAGCCATCTCTCCAGCCCCCTGTTTTTTTGGTTTTTGTTGTTAGTTTGGTTTGACTTTTTTGTTGTTCTTTTGTTTATTGTTTTGTTTTTGTTTGTTTGCTTGCTTGTTTTGTTTTGATTTTTTAAAATTTTTGTTTAGGGGACCTCCTGCAGGGGGAGGGGAGGATATGGAGGGACTGGGAGGTGAGTAGAATTGGGGAGCATGATGTGAAGTTTCCAAAGATTCAATAAAGAAATAATGTGAATGAAAATATTTTAATATATCACTACTGTAGAGCTGGGGAGATGACTCAGCAGTTAAGAGTGTTTATTGATTTTGCAGAAGACCCTGGTTCAGTTCCTAGCACCCACACAGCAACTCACAACAGTCTGTAACTCCAGATCCACACATATTCTCCTGGAATCCATGGGCAGAAAGCAAACGTGTAGTACACATACATACATTCAGACAAAACGCTTACACAATAGAGTACTAAACTAAATAAATCTTAGAAACATGTCACTGTGCCACTGGATGCCTGCCTCCTTGCAAGCCTGCCTCCCTTCCTGCATGCCTGCCTGCCTATGGCTTGGTGTCTGGGCCCACCCTTATGTGGGGGTATTGACTGTAGCACGGGGGTTGGGGAAGAGGACAGTTGGGGTGTTAGCTGGCCTCAATCACCTTTCCCTCCTCTTAGCTATAAGTCAGGTGCAGTGGGGTGGGGACTGAGGTGGGGGTGGCTGAGACCTGGTAGGAAGAATATCGAGCAGCTGTGAGGGGCCCACTTTGTCCACCCCCAAGAAGCTTGCAGAATTAGATTTTATTTTCAACGTTTTTAAAAAAGGAATAAATGCAGCCTCTTAATGTAAAAAAAAGAAAGAAAGAAAGAAAGAAAGAAAGAGGCCACTGTCATTAATAATTATACTAGGAATGCTATCAACAATTATAAAGAAAGTTTATGATGTATCTGGCACTGCTCTTAATCTCCATGTGAATAATTTGGCTGAACTATTATTTTACAAATAAAGCAACTCTTGGGAGGCAGATGCAAATGGATATCTGAGTTCAAGGCCAGCCTGGTCTACAGAGCAATTTCCAGGACAGCCAGAACTGTTACACAGAGAGAATGCCTGTCTTGAAAAACACAAAAAGAAAAAACAGAATGGAAGAAATGGAGAAAGAAAAGCCCAACGCAAAGTGTCTCTGAGTCTGTGCAGATAATCATTGTTCTGCTCCCTAGTCCTCAATGCACAAGACAGCGTTCAGAATAGTCGGGCATAGAAGGAGGTTCTAACCTCAGAATGTAGACATGAAAAGTGAGATTACAGTCAATGATGTCAGGCAGTTCTGAGTTTGAGCTGTGGGCTATTTGCATGACATCCTCTGTGCCTCGCTTCATTCAATTGTAATATGAAACGCTGATACCTGCCTTCTGGCACCATTGCAAGAAGTAGGCAGCTTGATGAAGTGACTTGCACAGCATGCAAATGCCCAGTGTTACCTAAACAGTCCTCCAGGCACAGCCCTGCAATCTCATTCCCCAGGATGAAGCGAGGCGTGCCTCACACAACTTAGTTCTGTTACTGAGGCCAAATGGCAGACGGAGTGGGTGTTCTCCTGCTCTTGCCTTCTCCTCTTGTATTGACAGGGAGCACATGGGCTTAGCTTCCCATTGTTGAAAGTGCCATCGTTGCTGTGGCAACATTTGTAAACATTCTGTCTAGGAACCTTGGGGCAAAGCGCTGCGAGACTGCTAAGGCTTCCTTAGCTACCTCTGCTACTGCTTCAAACAGGAATCTGCTCATTTAGGTACTGGGTTTTCTTTGCGATGGGGTGGGGGGCTCAAATAGGACCTGTAGTGGTTCTATTAATCACCCAGACCTCAAAGAAGCCAGTGCGAGGGACACCTAAGAGTCATGTGTGTCCACAGATGGGTGAAGTTAAAAGGCTTCCTTCCTCTAGCCCTCCCTTTCTGGTTTGTTGCTGTTGTTTTGGAGAGAGGGGTCTATATAATATAGGCTGCTTTCAAACTTGCTATGTAGCCAACAATGGCTTGGGAAAGACTCTGTTGCTTCCAGCAGAAGGCCGTGTTTTCTGCCAGCTGCAGCAAGAGGAAAACTGAGGTGAAGGTGAACAGAGCAGAAAATGAAACTAGCAAGGTCTAAATGAGCATTACTCTCTAATTACTACAGGAATGCTTAAAGGACATGCAGACTTTTATTACTGATGCTCGCTCACGGGGACTTGATTGCCTTGTGCAGTGTCTACCATACCCTTGGGACCAATGATGTTGAAAGAGGAAAGGAAGTTCTCTTTATATCAAAGAGGCTTGCAGTGAGAGTGAGATGGCTCAGTGCATGAAGATGTCCCCAGGACTCATGGTGGAAGGAAAGAACCAAGTTCTGCAAATCATCCTCTGACCCTCACCTTCGTGCTCGGGCGCCTATACCCCTCCCCAACTAAGGAAATAAATCAAAACTATACCTTAAAAAAGAGACTTGCAGAAAGAACACATTCTAGACTAGATGAAGGTGAGAACAGGTCCCAGGAAACATCTTTTTTATTTACATTTTTTGTATTTTTTTCCTACCCCCTACATCAACTGGGTCACATCTGCCTGTTACTCTAGTTCCAGGGGATCCAATCCTCTTCTAGTTCCACAGGCTTCTGCACACACACACATACACTTACATACACCCAGTCAAGGCACACACACACACATAAAATGAAATAAATAAACATTTTTTAAAGTTAGCATACTATTAAGCTGGGAGGCAGAAGCAGGTGGATCTCTGTGAGTTTGAGGTCAGCCTGGTCTACAGAGCTAGTTATAGGACAGCAAAGGCTACCAAAGAAACCCTGTCTCAAAATACAAAGTTAGCATACGAAAATTAAGACAGTTGGTCAAGGAAACACAAAGATGTGGCCACAGTAGAAAGAGACAGAGTTGAGCTTGCTGAGCCTTGTACAAGTTGGAGGGAACCAGACTGAGACGTTGTGTAAGACAGCAGCCCTGAGCAGCTAGAAGCCTCTCCAGGCAGTCATTCACAGGTGCCCCATAGAGGCGGGCCATCAGGGAATATAGTTTGTCTCTCACACTTCTGTCAGCATGCTCTTCCTAGTGTGTGACCTCCATGGGACACTAGAGGGCACCCGAGGACCATTTCCTGTGGTCTACTTGGGCCAGCCTTTGGGTGAGGCAAGAGATAGAGGAGAGTGGATGTGTCCTAACCATTGTCCATCTCATTCACAGGAACATGGTTGTTAAATGAAACATGGCGCATTAAATATTCCAGGATTGGGAGTTTTATTTGTAGAAAAATAAACATCTCCGTTTGGAAAGCCATCTACTGCCACCCTCTCCTCCCATTTAAATGTTTGCTGTCAAGGAGGCTGGGCAGGCTTTAGTCAGGCAGGTGGATGGATCTTTGTGGGTACAAAGCCATTCTGGTCTACACAGGGAACTCCAGACCAGCCAAGGCTATGTAGTAAGACCCTGTCTTAAAAAAAAAAAAAGATGCCTGCAAGAAATTATTTACAAGCTAGAGGTGATTTCTCAGAAGCGAAGAGTCTCTAGTAGTAGTAAGGAAAGGGAGCCCAAGACTCAAGGGGAAAGATGTAAAAGGAACACGCCCCCATTATGTAATAGATACCTGTCCACAATGCCGAGAAAGTCAAGGTTCATTAGTGCTGAAGTAATCATTAAATGCTGACAGTATTTGGAAAATTCGAGCTGCATTTGTGATTTTAAAAAACCTAAGTGTGCAAACAGGAACAAAAATTTCCCTTGCTCTATTTTACGTGTATGGTCTTGCATGTATGTGCACCACATGTGTGCCTGCAGAGACCAGCAGAGAGTACAAATCCAGAGCTACTGTGGCAGCTAGGAGCTGGGAATCAAACCTTAGTCCTTTGGAAGAGCAGCAAGTACTCTTAACCACTTAGCCATCTCTCCAGCTCCATTCACTTTTTTTAAGGCAGGGTGTCACTATTCTCCTGCCTGCCTCAGCATTTCAGATACTGGGACAACCCCCCCCCCCGAGACAGAGTTATATGTAGCTCAGGATGGCCTTAAATCTGCTATGTAGCTTCTGATCCCCTTGCCTCTCATTCCCAGGTAGGATTACAGATGTGCATGCAGTTCCACATCTGGATTCCTTGATTATCCATATTGTTGTTGTTGTTATGTTTGTTTGTTTGTTTGTTTGTTTGTTTGTTTAGGGAGACACAGTCTTGCTATGCAGCTATTAGCTAACCAAACATACACTATGTAACCCAGACTAGCGTTGAACTTGCAGCAATCCTCATGTCTCCCAGATGTTAAGATTACAGATGTTTACCACTATTCCCAGCTTCAAATCTTAGACCATAAGCCAGTGTCATCCTCAGTGGTGCAAGAGCAGAAAGCAGTACCCACTGAATCCAGATGCAAAGGGGGATATTCATCATCTTGACTTCCATTTAACATTTTTCAAGGGGTTAACAAAAGCTAAGGAACTCAAGTAACACATATGTTCAGGAAAAGAGATAGTAAAAATAATAGTTTCTTTGAGATAATAGAATTATATACCTGGAAACCTCTATGGAAACACTGATCTGCTTCCATGCCTCTTGATTCATTACGTCCCCCCCCCCCGTGTGTGTGTGTGTGTGTGTGTGTGTGTGTGTGTGTGTGTGTGTGTTGCTAGAGATGGAATCCAAGGCTTCCCAAGGATAGATAAGTGTTCTACTACTACTGGAATACATGTTTATTCCGTCAATTGGCAACTTTTTTAAAAAGTCATGCTGAGCCTGGAGAGATTGCCCAGTGGTTAAGAGTATGTATGGCTCTTCCAGAGGTCCCAAGTTTGGTTCTCAGCACCCACAAGTGACTTACAACCACTCATGACTGCAGTTCCAGGGAAATCTGACCTTTCCTTTGGCATCTCCAGGCACCCGTATCCACATGCACAAAAACACCCCCCACACACATATATATTTAAAAATAAAAATAGTATCTTAAAAATAATCACGTACCCTTAGTTTCTCAAAGCATGGACTTAGTCTTTCAGAGTTTGGAGTTATTGTTCAAGGAAGCTAGCAATTGCTCTACTACATTTTGATTGAAATCTTCTCAGTTTGAAGAATGGAATATCCTTGGTTTTCAGGAAAGGTCCATCTCAGCAAGCCGATAAAAAAGGTTGGCAGTATGGTCTGACTCCCACCCTTCACCCCTAGCTTCTCAAGAGTTAGTGAGTCTTGCCTGAGTGTTTTGATCCTCCAGCAGACAGGGTTTGCTGGTCGGATAAATGAATAGGTATTGTATGACACTTGTTGCTCTTATAGAAGACACGGGTTGGATTCCCAGCATCCACTCTGTGGCACACAACTGTCACTAACTCCAGTTACAAGGGGTCCAATGCTCTCCTCTAACCTCTGTGGGCATCAGGCATACACTTGGTGCACAGACATGCACACAAGCAAAACACTCACCCACATAAGATAAATAATCCTAAAAGCATTTTTCTAAAAAGAGAGTGTGTACTTATGTGCTTGTGTTTGTATCCTGTAACCCTGCACACATAGAGTAAATTATTGACTTTTTTAAATCCAGGCAAAATAGAATGGATAAGAAAAAAGGGCTCCCGACCCAGAAGGTGAACACTCCTGAGAACCCTAGCACAGCCAAGACAAAGAAACCAGATGCTCCAGATCCCAAGAATGTTCCAGAGCCAAAAGACAATAGGGTCGTGGCAGACCTGAAGAAGACTGGAATAGAGCAGAAAGAGAAAAAGACTGTGACCATCGCTACAGACCCAACGGAGAGAAAGAGTGTGAGTGAGCCCAAAGAAAGGAAGACTGTGATGGTCTCCGATTCCAAAGACAAGAAGCCAGAGACGAAAGACAAGAGGATGGTGACATTTGTGACAGACATAAAAGACAAGAGGATTGTGACAGACACAAAAGAAAACAAGATTTTGTCAATAGACACAAAAGGAAAGGTGGTCATGCCAATTGTGTCAGAGGTAAAAGAAAAGAAAATTGTGCCACCGGTAGAGCCGAAGGAGAAGGTGGTTGTGCCAGTTATCCCAGCTGTGCCCGTTGTGCCCGTTGTGCCAGAAGTAAAACAGAAGATCTTGGTGCCAGAGGTGAAAGAGAAGAAGGAAGTGCCACCTGTGCCTGAGATAAAGGAAATCAAGGGTTTTCGAATCATATCAGAGATAAAAGAAAAGAAGGCTGTGCCCGAGATAAAAGAGAAGGTGCCAGGGACGGAAACAAAAGAGAAGAAATCTGTGCAAGATGCCAGAGAGAAAAAGCCTGTGGTAATAGAAAAAAAAGACGAGGCAAGTGAACTAGCTGAGACTATAGTTGAGAGCGCTGTGGCTGCTGCTGTTGAATTTGTGGAAGGTAGGCTTCTGGGTTATTTGCCTAAAGGGTGGTCTCATTACTGTAACTGCACACTGCTGGGCAACTAACAAACCCATGCCTTGTTTTCAGAATCCAGGAACCCCGTGAAGAACATCAAGTGGATAACTCATGGGGAATTCACCATAGAGAGGGGTCGGAAAGATATTGAGAAGTTCGTGTCAGTAAGTGACTTTGCTCACTCCAGTTTGGTACCCCAGGGTGTGAGCAACAACAACAAAAAAGTTCATCAAAAGTTTGAGGCCATGGAAACCAAAGGGTGGCATCAAAGACACCTACATTAGCTAACCATAATTTTCTTGTGAGTTCCAAAACCAAGATCGGAAAGTTTTGCTGACTTATGTTTTTAATAGAAGCATCTCATATTACAATTGAATGAAGCGAGGCACAGAGGATGTCATGCAAATAGCCCACAGCTCAAACTCAGAACTGCCTGACATCATTGACTGTAATCTCACTTTTCATGTCTACATTCTGAGGTTAGAACCTCCTTCTATGCCCGACTATTCTTTTCTTTTTTTAAAAGATTTATTTATTTATTACATATATACCAGATTGAATTGTAGACGGTTGCTGGGAATTGAACTCAAGACCTCTGGAAGAGCATGTGTATGAGTGTTTTTTTCCTGCATATATGTATGTGCACCATGTGTGTGCTTGGTGCCTGAGGAGGCTGTTAAGAGATTGTCACATGCCCTGGAACAGGAGTTAGAAGTGACTGGGAATTGTCATGTAGGTGCTGAGAACTGAAAAGGTAGCCAGTGTTCTTAGTAAGTCATCTCTCAAGCCCTATTTTAATTTTTTGAGACAGGCTCTCAATATGTACCTTAGGGTTGCTTGGAATTTGCTATGTAGATTAGGCTGGCCTCAAACACACAGAGATACATTTGCCCCTGCCTCTAGAGTGCTGGGATTAAAAGGGGGCACCACTTCCCCAACCAGTGAACATTCTTTCTTTCTTTCTTTCTTTCTTTATTTATTTATTTATTTATTTATTTATTTTGGTTTTACGAGACAGGGTTTCTCTGTATTGTTTCGGAGGCTGTTGGTCCAGCCTAGCCTCGAACTCACAGACATCCGCCTGTCTCTGCCTCCCGAGTGCTGGGATTAAAGGCGCGCGCCACCACCTCCCGGCACCAGTGAACATTCTTAACCACTGAACTATCTCTCCAGCCCCAAGGCGGGATAATCCTTGAAAGAGAAAAGTGCAGCTATATCGCTATGCATTTGTATCATCCTAACTGTACATTTCCCAAGGATACACTATTTCCATGCTGACATATTCAATGAGGACGAGCTGGCCTAAGGAGAAAGAAGCATCTCTAAAATGGCTTCCTCCAACAACATTAGTATGTTCATGTTAACAGAAGGGATGCGGATGGGTCAAATGTTTTTATGGCCATATATAGTGTTGGAGATTGAACTAACAGCATTGCCTGCACTGTGAGTGCTATTACTGAGCTACTATCTCCACCATCAGAATCAGTAATCTTCTTGCTGTAACTTTGAAATACATTTCCCAGATGGTAATGCTAGTGATGTGTATGTCCATCAACTTCATCCTATGTCTGGCTCTGACCCTTGTGGGTGGCTTGTGGGCAGTAGAACCACAGTTGCTTTGCATTGTAGGTGAGGTAGATAAAGAAGATGGCTTGAAATCCCTTCCCACTGTACTTTTTCTGAAGGGAGATTCGTTGACATTGGAGGTGAACTCACCTAGCCCACTCCAAGCCTACAGTCCCAAGGGTAGTTTCCTAGGCACTGGCCACCATAGCCCTGGGAAAACCTAAGAAAGGCTAACTTCTCAGCTGCCAGCTCTACAGCACTAGGCACCATGCAGTTTCCAGTAGGAAGGGCATTTAGAGAACTCTATGTAAGTGACTATTGAGCATCCTGCCGTGGTGCGAGTCTCCATTTCATGCTGAGCAAAGACCCCTGCTCACTGCATTCAGGGCCCAAGCCAGGCAACTAACACATTAACTCTTGCTATAGGAACAGCTAGCTGTTCTAAGCAAATTAAGCCCCAACAAAAAACGCCTGTAAGACCCAAGGTGATGAGTCCCCTGCTCTCCTCCCAACTTTACGACTCATCATAAAATGCCTAACCTCACACCATTCTCACCCAGCCATGGCTGCCTTTTTGCTGTCCCTCAGCTGCCAGACATGCCCCATCAGGACCTCGGTGTTTGCCCATCCCTCTTCCCCGAGATCTATGTGAACACCTCAGTGCTTTACCTGTCTTCAGATCCTTATGACACGCTGCCTGCTCATTGAGGCTTTCCCTCACCACTTCATCTAGACTTGCAACCTTCTCTCATTCATTCCTCTCTTAGAAGTCTCACTAAGGAGTGCTACCTAAAAGTCTAGAGACTACTTCTTTATCCCACTCCATTCTTCCATCATCAGACCATCTGATCCATGAGAGCAGAGTGTTTTGTTCAGTCTCACCCCAGGCTTCTAGCAATGTCAGGTGCACAGTAGATCCTCAATAAGTCTCTGTTGAGCACATGAATGGATTTCTTCTCTCTTCTCCTCTCTTTCCCCACCTCTCCTTCTCTCCCTTTCTCCCCTTCTCCCACCTATTTTCTTTTGTGGTTTCTTTCTTTTTTGAGACAGCCTGGCCTTGAACTTGCTATGTAGTTGAGGGTGACTTGAATTCCTATTTCCTGACTCAGCCTCCCATTGCTGGGATTACAGGCTGTACCACCACTTCAGATAGTCCCAATAGAGTTCGGTTCTTCCCTAGGTCATCTGCCATGGCGAACAGCTTTGTGCATGGACTTTCAGGAGTCTGCCAATTTTAAGTATCCAATAATATAGAATGGGCTAAGCCATCCATGGCAGACTAGTAGCATGCCACTGGGTATGTGAAGGTGTGCTATGTAAAAATTACAACACACAAGGATAATATACACTCTCTGGATTGACATGAAAATCTGTTGCCCATACATTCATAAGAGGGGAAGAGGTTGACTTATAGAAATAGCAGAATCGAATGTCCTAAGGTTGCCTTAGTTCACATAAAAGATGCAAGTACAGTGTAAGCAAGCAGAGAGGAAGAAACTTAGAACCAGGGCATCTGGTGGGAAGCAGACAACACTGAGCTTGCTGCCCAGAAACCCTTGGGTATCAATCCAGGCAGGAGGCCCCACTATCTTCACCTGCAGAGCGAGTGACTTTATAAGACAATCCCCGGTGCTACATAATCTTTGACTGTGCAACAAACATTCCCACTAAAAACAAATCTGAGTAACTGAGAAAGGGTGAGGAAACTGGGTACCAGGAGTTGACAGGCTTCTTAAAAAAACTAATGAACTGGGCAGAGTGGCATATGCCTCTAATCTCATCACTTGGGTGATAGAGGCAAGAGAATTAGGAATTATGCTACCCTGGGCTATATGACACCCTAGCTCAAAAGCAAAATGCATCTGGCGATATAGCTCAGCTGATAGAGAGCTTGCCAAGCATGCATTAAATCCTGGGTTTACCCCACACTTCATAAACAAGGTGTGGTGGAATATGCCTTTAATTCCAGCACTTGAGAGATAGACGCAGGAGAATTAGAAATCCAAGTTCATCCTTGACTGCATAGCAAGTGGGAGTTCAGTCTAGGCTGTATATAAGGCCCCATCTTAAAAGAAAACAGGGAATGATGTCATATGGATGATGGGAGGAGACGAGGTCCCTGATCTCAACAAACTGGGCATTGCTTCTCTCTTCGACTAAAATGGCCAATTGGTATGAGCTTGAAATAAGATGAGGTAAAAGACAAAAAGAAAGCACACACACAAACAAAAACCCATGAGAAACTTGAAACCAATTTCTCCTCTGCACCACTTCTCATATCTGTATTATTAGACCATCCGAAGAAATGCCAGGCTCTTCTGTGGTGCAAGACACATACTGTAAAGTGCTTCTAGTTGCAGATACACACGAGGCTGAGACAGGAGTTCAAGGGTAGGCCAATCTCTAAAACAAACAAGATCGCTCTACCTTGGACAAGTAGGCATTGGGGGATAATGAGTAGTTCTAGTTTGCTGAGAAAAGTGTGACACGAGGTGGAAGACCTTACCTGACTTGGGGCTGGGGATGTAGCTAGAGGGCTTGACTTGCATGCACAAAGCCCTGGGTGTGTTCCCCAGCACTGCATAGGCCACATGTGGAGGAGCACACCTGCCATACCAGTTCTTGGGAGGTAGAGGCAGGAAGTTCTGAAGTGCGAACTCACTCTCAGACATACAATGAGTTCAAGACCAGTTAGGGCTACAGGAAATTCTGTGCCTTCCCATCCCCAAAAAAGGAACGGGATGGGATGGGGAGATGGCTCGGTGGTTAAAGCACATACACGTGCAAGTGACCTGAAGTTTGGCTTCCAGAACCCTCCCGTACGAATGCTGCCTGGGCAACGGCAGCCTACCTGTAATCCTAGCTTTAGAAGGCAAAGATGGCAAGCTGGCTAGGGAAAGCTGTGGGACTGATTCATTGAGAGAGCCTCCCTCAAAACTAAGGCCGAGGAGTGGTTGAGGAAGATTCTTGATATTTGCTTCAGGCCTCAAACACACGCAACCATACATATGTTCCCATAAAAATGCATATACAAATGCAACACACACACACACAGAGGACCACACTAGGCCTTGTGCCCACCTGAGCTGGAGCTGAAGGATGGAGCCCTTCCCTGACATGAAAGGGTTCCCATACATGCCAACCTGTCCATCCACGTCAACCGTGAGCTGACCACCATAACAGCTGCACACTGAGCCCTCTCTGGCAATGCTTAAGGGCTGGCTCTCCCAGAACTAGCTTCCTGTCCAGGGAACACAGAGTATAAACCCTGTCTCTCACACACACACACACACACGCACGCACGCACGCACGCAAGCACACACACACACACACACACACACACACACACACACACACACACACACACACACACACACACACACAAAGAAAAAAAAGTCATATGTGTTTTTTAATCCAGACTGTAGGAACCTCTGCCTCGGCCCCTCTCGGCCCCTCTCGGCCCCTCTCGGCGCCCCTCGGCCCCTCTCGGCCCCTCTCGGCCCCTCTCGGCGCCCCTCGGCCCCTCTCGGCCCCTCTCGGCGCCCCTCGGCCCCTCTCGGCGCTTCTCGGCCCCTCTCGGCCCTTCTCGGCCCTTCTCGGCGCTCCTCGGCCCCTCTCGGCCCCTCTCGGCGCCTCTCGGCCCCTCTCGGCGCCCCTCGGCCCCTCTCGGCGCTTCTCGGCCCCTCTCGGCGCCCCTCGGCCCCTCTCGGCGCTCCTCGGCCCCTCTCGGCCCCTCTCGGCGCCCCTCGGCCCTTCTCGGCGCCCCTCGGCCCCTCTCGGCGTCCCTCGGCCCCTCTCGGCCCCTCTCGGCGCCCCTCGGCCCCTCTCGGCGTCCCTAGGCCCCTCTCGGCCCCTCTCGGCCCCTCTCGGCGCCCCTCGGCCCTTCTCGGCGTCCCTCGGCCCCTCTCGGCCCCTCTCGGCCCCTCTCGGCGCCCCTCGGCCCTTCTCGGCCCCTCTCGGCGCCCCTCGGCCCCTCTCGGCGCCCCTCGGCCCCTCTCGGCCCCTCTCGGCGCTCCTCGGCCCCTCTCGGCGCCCCTCGGCCCTTCTCGGCGTCCCTCGGCCCCTCTCGGCCCCTCTCGGCGCCCCTCGGCCCCTCTCGGCGTCCCTCGGCCCCTCTTGGCCCCTCTCGGCGCCCCTCGGCCCTTCTCGGCGTCCCTCGGCCCCTCTCGGCGCCCCTCGGCCCTTCTCGACGCCCCTCGGCCCCTCTCGGCCCCTCTCGGCGCCCCTCGGCGCCCCTCGGCCCCTCTCGGCCCCTCTCGGCCCTTCTCGGCCCCTCTCGGCGCCCCTCGGCCCCTCTCGGCGCTCCTCGGCCCCTCTCGGCCCCTCTCGGCGCCCCTCGGCCCTTCTCGGCGTCCCTCGGCCCCTCTCGGCCCCTCTCGGCGTCCCTCGGCCCCTCTCAGTCCCTCTCGGCCCCTCTCGGCCCCTCTCGGCGCCCCTCGGCCCCTCTCTGCCCCTCTCTGCCCCTCTCTGCCCCTCTCTGCCCCTCTCTGCCTCTCTGCCCCTCTGCCCCTCTGCCTCTGTCTCTGCGTATAGGGTTTAATGGCATGCACCACCACTGCCCAGCTTAGACTGTGGGAAATCTTTTAAATGACGCAGTGAGACATTTTCCCAGGGCCTGGTGAGCAACAACAAAAGCTAAAGTGGAGTAGTGTGTCAGGGTCAGAGAAGAGTGGAGAGATGTGAGCCACAGGAGGAAAGAGCACACATGAGTGTAGATGAATGAAATATTTGTGAATTAGAAAGGACCAAATGGCTGAACGGATGTGCTAGTTTATATTCACATGCCTATGTTGAAGTCTTGGCTAGCCTTTTTGTTATTTCTTAGGATTTGTCCAACTTGTAACATGATTTTTTTCAGACAGACCTCTCACTGATCAGTCTGGAGCTCACCAATTATGCCAGACTTTCTGGGCAAGGATTTGCCCGTCTCTGCCTCCCTATCACTGGGATACAAGTACACAGCACCATGCATAGCTTTTGAATTTTTTTTTTGTTGTTTGTTTGTTTTGGCTTTTCGAAACAGGGTTTCTCTGTGTAGACCTGGCTGCCAGGAACTCTCTCTATAGACCAGACTGGCCTTGAACTCACAGTGATCGCCATGCATGGTTTTTTAAGTGGGTGCTGGGAATTGAAGTCAGGTCTTCATGCTTATGCAGAAAGCACATTTCTGACTGAAATATCTCCCCAGCTTCCTCCCTTTTTTTGAGACAGAGACTCACATAGCTCAGGCTGGGCTGGAATGGCAGTTGAGGATGACTTTGAACTCCCATTCCTCTCACCAAGGGGTTGGAGGTACAGTCCTGGTTCTGAATGGATGCTGCTGCTGTCAATAACACAGTTAACCTCAGTTGCCTATTCCCATCTTGACTGCAAATAGGTTCAGACAGAGGAGATACCCCAAGATCTTCAGTTTAATATCTGCACACTGGCTCTTTGAGCAGGTATGATTACACACACCAGCAGTCCCAGCACTCGGAAGGAGGGGTAGAACTTTTGAGTTTGAGGTCAGCCTGGACCATATAGTGAGACCCTGTCTCATAGAGTCAAAACGACTCGAGCTGGAAATCAAACCCAAGGCCTTATACACACAAGGCGAACACCCTGCTACTGAGCTGCGCTCCCCACCCCAGCCTCCCTTTTGAGGGCATGTGAATAACCCAACTGCCTGACTCATTCCTTTTCTGGCTTTACTTTGCTTTTATTCTTTATTATTGTGAGTAGTCAGAGGACAACTTTGTGCAGTTTGTTTGGGTCTCTTACCTTTACATGGCTCCTGGGGATTGAACTCAAGTCCTCAGGCATGCATAGCAAGTGCCTTTACAGAGAAATCTCCCCCAGAACTTGGCCCTTCCTTTCTTTTTTGGGGGAGCAGCTTCTTTTCTAAGGCACATATCACAGCAAATGAAGTAAGTCCAATTTTACAGATAGCTGAAATTGGGTTCACCATTTTATAGTCATCCCTCTAGGTCTCCTGGGGTAGGGTAAGCAGAACACCTATCCAATCACCAATTATTCTCCCAAGTGAGGGTGCCAAGTGTGGTGCGTACGTACACACTGACCCTCACCCCACCCTGCTGCCACCACAGGTCAAAGCTCCTCTCAAATGCTTTGCATTCCCAAATTAGCCCGTCTCCTCTACTGTGGGAATAACTGAGCGTTGGTCATAGTTTGAATCAAAATAAAAAAGTCAAGAATGCAGGGTCTGTAACCCTGACTGTTATATACGGCCTTTGTTGGGCTGGTCCTGCTTTCCTTTCTCTGTGAGTTTTCTCTTTTTTCTGTGAAACAGACATGGGAGATTGAAAAGCGCTGGGTGTACCATGCAGATTTTATAGAGAAGAGAGACTTAGTTCACTCCTTCCACTATATCTACCGTGTGTGCTGGAGCGCCCCCACTGCCGTAAGACCCATGGCAAGAGTCAGTGCTTACGCCTACTTCACCATCAAGTTCAACAAGAGCAAACCTCGGGTAAGCTCTTCTTTTTGCATCCTGGTCCCTTTAGTGAGGATTCAGCAATGATGACATCTTTAGTCATGGGCATCGACTTCCCCCCAACCCCCTGCCATTGCAAAACACTGGGTTTCTGTGGTGACAGTTCTGATCTTTAACTACTTAGATAGGCAAGGATGTCCCTGAAATCCTGTCCTCCCCGTGCTGAGGTTATAGGTGTACACCACCATGCTGAGTCTAACAAATTCAAGCCACTCATTTGTTTCTATGGTGCTGAGGATCCCACCCAGGGCCTTGCACATACTAGGCAGTTACTCTGCCGTTGAGGTAGCTCTGCAGCACAGGAAACCTAATAATCATGTTTCTGCCCTCATCTTCCTTGGCCCATCTGCAGCACTTACCATGTGCATTGCTCTGTCTGTCCTCCACAACACGTTGCATCTGGTTTCTAGAACATGCTCTCCCGATGCGCCTGGTGCCTCACACCATTCCCTCGCAGCATGTACTATTGTGTCTGCTTCACACTAACAACTTCATGTTGGGATGACCCAATACCCAGCCCCATTCTCTATACTTAACTTCATTACTTTATGCAGTCATACGGCTTTAACTAGCACCCAGAGCTGGGTACGTAGACACACGCTGATAGCCCACCTACTCAGGAGGCTGAAATGGGAGGATCGTTTGAATTCACATACCAGCCTGAGCAACCGCAAGATGTACATTTCAAAACAGACAAAACCTCAGGCTGAGCACAGTGGGGCACACTTAACTCTCAGCATTCGGGATGTTGAGAATCGCTTGAGGCTAACAGTTCATCACAGCAATTAAGAGCCCTTGCTGCTCTTGCTGAGTTGGGATCCCAGGACCCAAGTCACAGGGCTTGTAACAACTCCAGCTTCACAGAATCCGAGGCCTCTAGCTTCTGGCTGCCATGGCACATGGTTCATTCATAAGTACATACCCCCCCACACACACATAATTTAAAATAAAATGCAGGCTGGCTCCGTGGTTCAAAGCACTGGCTGCTCTTGCATAGGATCTGGGTTAAATTCTTACTTAGCATCACATGGTAGTTCACAACAATCAGTAACTCCAGTCCAAGGGACTCTCATACCCTCTTTGGTTCCGGACACATGTGTGGTACACAAACATGCATGTAAGCAAAACAGTCATACACATAAAATAATAAAATAAAAAGAAAAAAATCTTTAAAAGTGTTTATACCTAGGGGGAAAAAAAGCCTTTTTGAAAAAGTCTTTACACCCAGCTTTGGTAATACAGTGTGATTCCTTCAGCTCAATGAATAAATAAATAAATAAATAAGTGGCTGGGCGGTGGTGGTGAATGCCTTTAATCCCAGCACTCGGGAGGCAGAGGCAGGCGGATCTCTGTGAGTTCGAGGCCAGCCTGGTCTACCGAGTGAGTTCCAGGACAGCCTCCAAAACAATACAGAGAAACCCTGTCTCGAAAAAACCAAAAAAAGAAAAACCAAAAAGAAAAAAGTGAATCAATAAGAAAAATTAGTGTCAGTTAGACCTTATGATTTCCAAATCTCTAGCATATTTTGAGATTTAATGAACATTTCACTTATTTTTTTTTTAATTTTCTGAGACAGGATTTCTCTGTGTAGCTTTGTAGACCAGGTTGTCCTCCAACTCAAAGAAGATCCGCCTGCCTCTGCCTCCCAAGTGCTGGGATTAAAGGCGTGTGCCACCACCGCCCGGCTTCACTTAGCTTTTTTTTTTTTTTTTGGTTTTATGAGACAGGGTTTCTCTGTATTGTTTTGGAAGCTGTCGGTCCAGCCCGGCCTCGAACTCACAGAGATCCACCTGCCTCTGCCTCTCAAGTGCTGGGATTAAAGGCGTGCGCCACCACCACCCGGCTTCACTTAGCATTTTTAAAACTGATTTTGTAGCCAGGCGTTGGTGGCTCATGCCTTTAATCCCAGCACTAGGAGGGCAGAGGCAGGCAGATCTTCTCTGAGTTTGAGGCCAACCTGGTCTATAGATTGAATTCCAGGACAGTCTCCAAAACAATACAGAGAAGCCCTGTCTTGGAAAAAAAACTAATTTGTTTCAGTGGTTCTGGAGGTTGAACATATGATCTTCAAATGCTAAGCAAGTGCTTTACCACTGAGCTGTCTCCCCGGCTCTACAATTGAATGTTTCATTTTCCCTCCCACATCTAACCCACTTCAAGTCTTTGCATCTGAGTTGATGGTTGGTTCCTTGGCATCTTCCTTGACTCGTTTCTTTCTCTTGCATCCTTCCCTTAAAACAATGGGAAAATATGTATAAGATCCTACATTTTCTCTCCCTCTGTCTCTGTCTCTCTGTCTCTGTCTCTCTCTCCCCCTCCCCTTCTCTCCCTGTCCCTCTCCCCCTCCCTCTCCCTCTCCCTAGGATTATTTCAATAGCTTAACACGTCTCTCTCCTTCTGTTCTTGCCCACATGTAGTAGCCAGCCAGACTGAGCCTTTAAAGTGAATTTCTGTCACTCCTGTTCAAAGATCTATTTTTATTATTTGTGTATGCATATCTGTGTGTGTGAGCATATGAGTGCATCTAATATACAGAGTCCAGAAGATTCCCTGGATCTAGAGTTTGGGGCAGTTGTCAGCTGCCTACCATGAGTGCCAGGAACTCAGGTCCCCTTGGCGGAGGATCAGAGTGCCATCTCTCCAGCCTCCAGTCCTTTGTTTAAAATGCTTTTTTCTCTTTCTCTCTCTCTTTTTGTTTAAAAATGTCTCTGGAGTGGTTCTAGAACTTTAAAGTACATGGAAATTACCTGGGGATCTTGTTAAATGAAGATTCTCGTTGAGCATGTCTGGGAAGGGCTAGAGATGATACTTTTTCTTGTTACTATGTGTGGCTCTGGCTGTCCTAATCACTTTTTAGCCCAGGCTGGTCTCCAGAGACCCACAAGCCCCTGCCTGCCTCCTGAGTGCTGGGATTTATGTTAAACTACTAGGTAATTCTGACAGTGCATACCTAGAGTTTATGTGGCTTCATATATGCTAGAGAAGTACTCCACTAACTGAGCTACATCCCCAAACCCTCCCCACTTTTCAAGACAGGGTCTTGCTCTGTACTCCTGGCTGACACTGAACTCACTTGGTAGACCAGGCTGGCCTCAAACTTGGGACAGTCCTTCTGCCTCTACCTCCTGAGCACTGGGATTACAGACAGGAGCAATCATGCCTGGGTTATTTTCTTTTTAAGTCAGAGTCTTGCTATTGTAACTATTGGCCCTCCTTTCTCAGTGGGTATGTACCACCAGTACAGGTAATGTAACAAAACCCCTGCTTCAAATGGATGGCACTAGAAGAAACCATCCTGAGTGAGGTAACCCAGTCACAAAAAGACAAACATGGTATGTACTCACTCATATATGGATTTTAGACATGAATAATGGGAGTGTCAGCCTACAATCCCACTGCCAGAGAGTCTGGGAAACAGGAAGGACCCTAAGAGAGGTATACATGGTACCCCAGAGAAGGGGAATAAGGCAAGATCTCCTGAGCAGATTGGGAGCTGGGGTGGGGGAGGGGAAGGGAGGCAGGAAAAAGAGGGAGACAGGAGGAAGGGAGAGGAGGACATGGGGGAGCAGGAAGGTTGAGTTGGGGGAAGAATAGAGGAGAGCAGGATGAGAGACACCATAATAGAAGGAGCCATTCTAGGTTTGAGGGAAGATCTGGCACTAGTGAGATCTCCAGAGAGTGGAGACACTACTTTAAATGCCCCTCCCTGGAAATGGCAAACAAATGGACTTGGGGACCCATCCCACAATGAGGGATGCTTTCTCAATCTGGACACTTGGGGGAGGGCCTGGGCTCTACCTGAAACAAAAAGACTGACTCTAGAGATCCCCCATGGAGGGCCTTAGTCTCCCGGGGGGGAATGAAGTGGGGATTGGGTGGGGGTCTGGGGGTCTGGTGGTGGGAGTGGGCGTGGAGGGGAAGGAGAGGGAGCTGGGACTGACATGGGAAGCAAGCTTGTTTCTAATTTAAATATATAATAAAAAAGTGTACAAAAAAAGAAAAAAACCTGCTTCCAAAATAAAAATTTCCAACCTCGTTCATGCTATTTCACTCTGGTTCCATTCCTAAAAGGCAGAGAGCCACAGCCGACTAAACTGGAGCATGTAAAAAAGACAACAAAACTAAACCTTGATATTAAAAAAAAACAACCACCACAATTTCTCCCCCTGCCCCCCCCAAAAAAATCAATAAAAATAGCAAAAGACTGAATCGTGCTTATTGAGAACACAAGCCTCTGGTAACTGTCTCTAATCTTGTGGTGTAGCTTAAGATATCTGTGACCAAAAACATCTTTTGCAGAATAGGTTTGAAATGACAAAACTACCAATTAATGGATTCCCCACTAATAAAGAAGATGGGTCCTGAAAATGCAAATTTATTTTTATGGATAAGGTCAGTGTGGGAGAATTAAGCGTTGGCATACTTGGTCCAGGCTTACAGTTATCCCTCTCTCTTAGGATATGCCTGTTGATGTCTCTTTCATCTTTGAGAATTCAAGACTACTTCAAAGGTAATTAAAATTTGGAGACTTGTTCTAAATGGGTGAGGTAAAGGTTGTCACATTCTAGGAATCCAGCAGGCCCATAGCCACAGATAATTCATGCAGGGCTCACCTCATTTTGACCACTTACCTTACAATATGGGCTGAAAATAGGATTCTGGCAGTAGTCTAGAAAATTATTTTTAATGTTTTCTCAGTAATTAGAAACTCTGTGAGTTCGAGACCAGCCTGGTCTACAAGAGCTAGTTCTAGGACAGCCTCCAAACAATACAGAGAAACCTTGCCTTAAAACACCCCCCACAAAAGAAGAAACATAAGAATTAGTTGATAGAACAGGGTAGGGCAAAGTGAGTCATATATGATATTTCTACAGAAACTTCAAAGCTTGAGAGACAGACAGAGAGAAAAAGAGTGTGTGTGTTTTGCTGGACATCAAGCCTAGGGCCTTGCACACACTAGGGCAGGTGTACTGTACCACTGAGCTACAGCTCTAGTCCTCTTCAGGGAAACTTCAAAATTATACTGGATTTACTATGGATAATCACCCCCTTTAGGCACTGTAATGCCTGTCTATAATCCCAGCACTTGAGAGGCTGAGGCAGGATTTCTATAAATTTCATGCTTGCCTAGACTATAGAGTAAGGCCATGTTTCAGGACTCCACAATAAAGAGTCACATGAAACTCACATTGAATTAGCTTACATGCAGCAACCAATGTTACTGCATAGCAGCTCTCCAAAAGATTTTTTACATAGGCTTAAGGAACAGTAAGGAATATAGCTAGAACCTAGCCAGGATCTTGCTCACCGGGAATGTAAGAAGGGATTCATGCCTCAACATTTTGTTTGATTATAAAAGCTTTGTGTGTGCAAATGTGTTTTTTTTTTCTTTCCTCTATAGACCAGGAAAGATTCGATTTCGAGAACAATGGCTGAGGGATATTACTGAGACCACACAAATTTTGTTGGAGTCTATCCCCTTTAAAGTTGTCTGATTCTTGTGTTATGTTTGAGGACTCTTAACAATCAACATGTTAAAAATATGAAACAGCACATCAAATCACATAATATTTATTGAATAATAAACTTGTGGTACACAACCCAACTGCATTTTTGCTTTTATTCATTATCCATTTTCTGTTTTTGAAAAGATTTTTCTTAACACTATTTTTTGGAGTCTGGCAAGCACAGAGTTGAATTTTGAACATTGCTAAAGTTCACCCACTGGCCCTTAGCTGTTTGGTCCTTCTCTGTGCCTATCTCCAGGCTTGATCCACATTTTATGGGTATGCCAGGTAACAAAATGGCAACAGTTCTGTAGCTCATACCAACCAGTCTGAAGGGTTCTCCTACTAATAGACTGCTTCTACTGTAAGGTGAGCCTCACTGCCAAGCTCTGAAACCAAATGCTTTAGCTTCTAGACACACCATCATGCTCATTATTACATGAACCAGAGATAGGTTACCACCCTTATTTATTTCTGGTCTTGTTTCTATCTTCATACTGGATCATCATGTATTTCTTCCTGCCCAATGAGACTCCTAAGCCTGGTCACACAATTTTAAATTACCAAGACAAAATTACACTACACTTTGAGGGACAAAGACATACAAGGAACACAGAATACTTGTAACAAACAATTCATGTGGCAGGACTGAACAATTTTTTTCTATTTTTTACCATTATCTTTGTACAACAAATAAAAAGGGAGAGAAAATCCTATGAACAACAGATGAAGAGATGAGAAGCTAGGTAAGTCCCTTTAGAGAACAAAACAAAGTATTTAAATTACAATAGTTTGACATAGATTTTACATGGGCCTAAAGAACAATGAAGAATACAAATAGAATTCAAGCCACTATCTTGTTCACTGGGAATGTAACAGGAGGGAATTCCTAGCTCAATGTTTTGTTCAATTATAACTGTTCAAGTGCTTGGGGGTGTGTGTGTGCATGCGTGCGTGCATGCGTGCGTGCGTGTGTGTGTATGTGTGTGTGTGTCTGTAGAGGGGAGCACACGCCTTGCTTCCTCTGTAAACCAGGAAGATTTGCTTTTGGAAACAATGGCTGACTTAGAGCTCAGGTGACAAAATACAGTATGAAGCAATAACTCAAATAAGCTGAAAATAAAATACTTTTAGCCTTCCACTTTTTAAAGAGTCTGCTACTGAAGCTATTCTTTGCAGATCTTATCCAAATGAACTCTGCTGCAATGAATGGTAGGTATAGAAATAAATTCCTGTCTTTTTTTCATTGACTATGTCTACTCTGTGGAGAAAGATTAAAATAAAATTCATAATATTTATATACCACAAAATTGTTGCTTTTAAACTACATTGTCTATGAAAAATAAAAACATATCCATCCAGTTGCTAGGAGCCAGTTAACAAAAAAAATGACCCTGCATAATAAATTTTAAAGTAGGGATTATAAACATTACATTGTATTACATGAGGAAGTGTATTAATTAATAAGACTTCCAACTTTGGAACCTAGTTTCCATTGAACTTTAGGAAATTATAGACTTACTAGACTGAGAAATATAGATATAGTGAAGTAATTTCAAGTTCAAAGATCACAGATGTTACTACATGCTAACTGCTGCTCAGTTCAGCAGTTGTGGGTTAAAAACACATTTCCCAGATCATATATTAAATTTTTCAAAGAGTGATAAAGTGAGGAGGGTTTCTACAAAGTTAAGGATTAAAGACACTGATAGATATAGAAAAGTTGAAGAGTTTAACAACATTTAAAATCAAACCTGACAGCCAGATGCAATGGCACACACCTCTAATCCCAGCACGTGGAGGGCAGAGGCAGGTGAAACTCTATGAAGCTACATAGTGACACTCTGTCTCAAAAAAGGTATCTCAGTACATAAAGGACACAATTGAAAACATTTACTATTTTACTTTCCTTATCATGAAACAGCTAATTAAAATACTGACTGCATTTCCCCTCATTAGCACTCTTGATACTCATTCTTTTAGATTTTATCCTATCATTAAATATCAGCTTAGATAGAAATAATATTCTTACACTGGCACAATAGACTTCCCAAGACTGTATTTGAACTTTTTGCAGTGCTGGGGATGTAACTTAGGACACATGCATGATAAGCACATGTTCTAACTCTGAACTATACCCCAGCGACTGAAAGAACTATTTTAAGTAACTTATTAAGAACTTAAAATATGTAATGCTCACATTTTTATTCCACACATCTGTGACTTATCCTTTTGGTTTGCTGTTTTTAGAGCAGAGGTAGAGTTAGCCCAAAATACAATTCTAGGGCAGACTATAGAAACAAGTCAGTTTTCAAATTCCACAACATTTTACAGCAACACCATCATTTTGTTAACAGAAATAGCCTCCTACATAGTTCCTGTCTAGCCCATTTGCAGTACATTCACGACAGAGATAGGAAATTCCCGAGTCCTACTGGGGAAGGGGCAGACACTGTATGGATTCACACCCAATCACAACGTGAGATTTCAATTCCTTATTCTGCTGCCACTCTCTATACCACCTTCCTAACACTGCAGAGTTTCACTCCGAATCTGGACTTTCAAACCAGAAAGTTAGGGTCAATCTTAAAAAGACTTACTAGTTATACCAACAAGCATCTTTTATTGAAGGACTGAAGGATTCAAAAGGCACACAAGCACCGAAAAGCCATTTCAGAGAACAATAGCCTTTTTGGCTGGGCTGGTGGCACACGTCTGGAATCTCAACACTTGGACGGTGGAGGCAGGAGACCAAGAGTTCAGAGACATCCTTGGCTACAAAGCCTGAGGCCAACCTGAACCACTTGAAACCACACATCAAAAAATAACCCCAAACACAAACAAAACAATAATCTTTTTTATGTCTAGAACCCACAACTTCCTTCTTGATGTTAAAAATATCCACTTGTGATGTCAGGAAGTCCTCACTTGTCATCCTTCCCTTTGGTCTTTCTGTACACCATCTCTCGAAAGCTGGCCAGAATCTTGTTCTCCCTCTTCCGTCTTTCTTCTTGGTTAAAGGATGCAAGGGCTCTCTTCTCATCCGCACTGTAGATCTGGTTCTCTTTCCGCAGACGCACAGCCTCCATTCGGCGATGCCTGAAGACCAGGTTATTTTTTACTTAATTTCTTACTAATAATTCTTATAGTATATCATCATTAATCCTTTCTTAATATAGAATCTTCTATTTAAAAGGTGACAACAGAACCTGGAGATGGGTCATCAAATGACTATACATTTTTTCTATTGATGCTTCCTTTTCCTTTAACTTATTTCTAGTATTCATGATCTCCAATGTTTGTCAACATATTGTCATTAATTTCAAATACTAAAGACATAATTATTTTTTCTTATTTCTAATAACTGAAATGGGAAACTTATTAAATGTTTTAGGTGGGGCAGTGATGGCACACCACTTCCCAAGTGCTGAGATTAAAGACATGTGCCACCACTGCCCAGCCACTACCGGCAGTGTTTAAGAGGTCCTGTATCACCACATCCTTTCAAATGTTTGGCATTGTCAGACCTTTGATCTTTTTCCTATTAAGTGGGTACAAAACAGTATTTCACTAAGGTCTTGATTTCCATTTTCAATAACACTAAATATCATTTAGCTTATGTATAGGACCTATATGTTCTTTTGATAAATGGCCTTTTCTGGCATTTCCCCAGAAATTATTTCTTTTATAGGTGTTCATTCCAATATTCTGATTACCAACACTATATCAATTGTGTGTATTCCAAGAATCTTATCTGAGCCTGAAATTTTTGCATTTTTATGTTTTTGATAACACATGTTAGCCTAGGCAAACTTCTGGATAGAACATTGTTTTGTTTAGCAAATACTGTCTTATCTAAAAGACATCCTCTCTCAAAGTATGTAATCTAGTGGCACTGCTTTTTTATATGGTGATTCAGTGTTCTATGTTCTTAACTTATGGGTAACATTTTTTCCTATTTCATTTCCTGAATACTTCTTTCTGCACACATCTTAGATGCTATCGCTTTCACACACAAAAATTCCACACATGTATAACTGTCCTTGGGCTCTGCATTTTATTCCACTAAATTAGGTTATTCCCTATGCTTCCTAAAGCCTGCAAGCTCCTTAATTCTCATCTTTCATAGGTCACATCTTATTTCCTACTCTTTTCAGGGTACTCTTGGCCTTTTAGTGTAACAAATATACTGTAGAACAGCTTTACTAAGTTTCATAAACTGCTATGATTTTGATTGAAATTTTATCAAATCTATAGATAAATTTGAGAGAACTGACTTTACAATATTGGTATCCTATCTTTTTTTTGTTTGTTTGTCTGTTTGTTTTTTTGTTTTTCGAGACAGGGTTTCTCTGTAGCTTTGGAGGCTGTCCTGGAACTCACTTTGTAGACCAGGCTGGCCTCGAACTCACAGAGATCCACCTGCCTCTGCCTCCCAAGTGCTGGGATTAAAGGCGTGCGCCACCAACGCCCGGCGGTATCCTATCTTTGAATATAGTCTGTCTCCATTGATATAAGTCCATTTTTTGGTTTTTCTAGACAGGGTTTCTTTGTATAACAGCTTCGGCTGTTATGGAACTTGTTGAGTAGAACAGGCTAGCCTCAAACTCACAGAAATCTGCCCATCTCTGCCTTCCAAGTGCTGAGATTAAAGGTGTGCGCCACCACCACACCCAACTAAATTTTTTTAGTTTTTATTTTATGTGTATGAATGTTTTGCCTGAATGTATACCTGCACGTAACATATGTGCAGTGCCTGCAGAGTCCAGAAGAGGATTTTGGATTCCCTGGGACTGGAATTACAGCTGGCTGTGAGTTGCCATGTAGATGCTGGGAACTGAATGTGGTCCTCCAAATAACATCCAGTGCTATTAACCACTGAGCACATCCTCTTAATGTTTTATAATTTTCCTGTGGGGGTCTTGGGATTCTTTTGCTAAGATTTATTTTAAATCACTCATATTCCGATACTATATGATATGCTAAACAATAAATGTTTAATTATTTCTTTATATAATATATACAATTATACACTAACATATTAATGATATGTTCAATTATAATGTCTAGTTGCCTGCTGCTGAGATACAGAACACAACTGGTTCGGCAATAAGTTTATATGCAACAATTTGTTAGCCCCCTGAAGAGCCTTGGGAACCTTTTAGGTAAACGATAGGCTCAATCACAAAAATAGCTATGTCGAACCTCCTTACTGATCCTTACATCTCTAATGATTTGTCTTGGTCATACTGTCATCCTCCAAAGTGATGTTGGTTTTCAGAAATCTAAGGTTCCGGGGTTACTTCGGAGGTTCAGCAAACAGTTGTCTCTGGTATCAATTCACAATGATTAACTATTTTAATAGGTAGTTTGTAATCTTAAAAAACCCCCAGTTCAGTGTGAGTTGAGTACTGCTGCCCTAACTCTACCTGGTTAGTAAAGTATTTTCTGATTTTCCATGGTTTTATTTCCTCATGCTGAATCTGGCATCTTTCATGAGCCTTAGCTGATATTCGTTTCTAGAAATTCTGGTCCTATGAGAACTGGAGGCAAACTAAAAAACCAACAAAAATTATCTTGTGACAATGCTTGCCTAACTACTGGAATCTCATATTCCTTTATGATAGATGGCGGACCTTAACTATTTTTTTATTTTCCAGAGGGAAAAATTATACCAAAATATGAATAAGAAATAAAACTGGAAACTATTGATTCCTTAAATTTGGAGATATTGTAGAGTTTCTTCTAATGTTTCTTCTAATGAAACCAGTACCGTGCGTGCGTGCGTGCGTGCGTCCGTGCGTGCGTGTGTGTGTGTGTGTGTGTGTGTGTGTGTGTACACTCTATTTTCCTTTAGGAAATAAGCGCTTAATAAAAACGGATCACCAAAATATAATTCTAGTAGTAAGAAAGAAGGAAAAGAGCCTATCATGGAAATTGACTCAATGCCAAGAAAATACCTGCTACCGCTCATTACATAGCCGGAACATTCAAATGATGCAATCTCTTCACTTGTCAAGCCAATTTCACCTCTTCGTGGGATTCGCTTTCCAGCTTTTACATACTCAGCCATAGCTGCACCTTCACCAGGTAACAGAGCATGGCCATAGCTACAAAATAATTCAGAATTCAAAAAAGGCTCATTAAAGTATCTGCATAGAGAAGGAAAGTACAAATCATGTTCCCTCAAACAGTAGAAAGAATAACAGTGCTGAGCAGTATTGTGCCTGATGTGCATTACCTAATTTTTATTAGAGAACACTGTACTATGACTTGTATTACTAACCTAGAAATATATAAGTAATATGTAAGAATGAAGGAACTAATGTTCACAAGTATAGGCTCACACTTAATAATTGTGGGCTAATTAATTAGGTATTATCATTATTGTTTCTGTCCTCAGTTCATTCTCTCTAAAATACCCAAATAAATAATAGATCTCAAAGTAAACTTGCAACAAACAATAATGCCACACAGTAAAAATCATCTTTTGCCTTCGATTAAAAGAGATTTTAAAAGCAGTTAAGTGATGGTTTCTTGTATTCCTATTAAAGTTGAAGCTTGTAAAACAAAAGTAATCTCTGCACTTACAAAATTTATATAGTTACAAAGATAACTACACTACATTATATGGTAAACATAAATAATATATTTCATGGGCTGCAACGGAGGCTCAGAGGGAAAACACATTTACTGTCAAGTTTGCTGACCTGAGTTTAATCCCTGGTATATTAAATATAATGGAAGCAGAGAACCAACTCCTAAACGTTGTCCTCTAACCTTCATGCCTTCCCTTCCTCTATTTTTCTCCCATACAAAATAGATAAACTAATAAAAAACTTATCCCTTCCTCTATTTTTCTCCCATACAAATTAGATAAACTAATAAAAACTTAAAAATTACACTGCATAGAAGAAACAGAAAGTGCTATGAGGATTAGAGAGAGAGAGAGAGAGAGAGAGAGAAATCACAGCTCCTTGTAGAGAAGCACTGGAACTTACCAGATGCTCCTTTAAAGGACAGTTAAAGATCTTGTTTTTATTTTGTAGAAACAGGGTCTCCTATAGCCCAGACTGGCCTTGAGATTACAATGTAGCCTAGAATGTCCTTAAATTCCCGATCTCCCTGCGATGTCCTCACAAATGCTATGATCACAGGTATACACACCATACCAAGCTAAGAAACTACTTTAGATACTGCAAATGTACTGCTACTGGTTGGAGGCACAGCTCAGTGGCAGCCTGCTAACCTAGCATGAGCATAGTCAGCACTGCAGGAAACAAACAACCTACAACAAAGAAAACCACCCAAACCCTACATCTGTACACTGCTACTTACTTCAAAGGCTTATCATCTTGAGAAGCAAGTGTTTTGGGAGCCTCTGGGCCAATGAGATCAGATGGTTCTTCTGTCTCTGCATGAAAGATATTTAGAAACACATTCACATCTTGACTAATCGGTTAATGTTTCATGTTTGAGTTAGTCAACTACAAGAACCTACTTGATCGATCCTTCCAAGGATTCTCTAGAAATTCTTCTTGGGACTCTTTAGAGCTTGAATCACTGGATTCTTTTCTGTTCTTCTTAGATTTCTTTTTCTTGTACTTCTTCCTGAATGGATTATAATGTAATACAAATTAAGTATTCTCGTGTTAAAAGGCATTCTCAGTTTTCTTTTTTAAGAAATTTTTTAAAAGCCGGGCATTGGTGGCGCACATATTTAATCCCAGCACTCAGGAGGCAGAGGCAGGCGGATCTCTGTGAGTTTGAGGCCAGCCTGGTCTACAGAGTGAGTTCCAGGACAGACTCGAAAACAATACAGAGAAACCCTGTCTCGAAAAACCAAAAAAGAAAAAAGAAATTTTTAAAGATTTATGTGTATTGGTGTTTTGCCTGCATATATGTGTCTGTGAGGGTGTCAGATCCTGGAACTGGAGTTACAGATAGTTGTGAGCTGCCATGCGGTGCTCTGTAAGGACAGTCACTGCTACTGCTGAGCCATGTCTCCAGCCGCAGGCATTCTCAATTTTCAAGGGAATGAAAATGTTGATTAAAATTATCTAAATTCCCAGCTTATTCAGACTTTTCAATTCAATCTTCTCAGTTAACCAAGTACTATTTTACCATTGACAAGAAATGAATAAGCAACCAAGTAAATACGGTTATCATGTAGAAAGATAATGGAAATAGCTTAAAGCCTAACTCAGGCAGGAGGTGATAGCTTATGTCTGTAATTGTTGTAGAATAATCTTTTTGTACACTATAAAGAAGTGTCACTTGGGTTGGTTTAATAAAAAACAAAATGGTCAATAACATATCAGGATTTTGGAGGCACAGAGAATGCTGGGAAGAAGGCAGAATCGCCATCCAGATGCAGAGGAAGTGAAACATGCAGGAAGAGAGGTAAAAGCCATCAGGCATGTGGCATCACGTAGATGAATGGAAATGGGTTAATTTAAGTTATAAGAGCTAGTTAGAAACAACCATAAGCTGTCAGTCAAGCTTTTATAAGTAATAAAAAAATCTCTGAGTCGTGATTTAGGAGCTGGTTAGTGGGATAAAGACTAGCTACATGTAATCCTAGCACTTTGGAGTTAGAGGCAGGAGAATCAGGAGTTCAAAGCAATCCTATGCTATCCAATGAGCCTAAGGCCAGCCTGGGGTATATTAGACCCTAACTCAAAAAACAAACATACAAAGGTTAAAGAGGTTGTTCAGCAGTTGCAAGTGCTTGCTGCTCTTCCAGAGAAATAGAGTTCATAATCTAGCACCCACATCAAGTAGCTCATAATCACCTGCAAGTCCAGCTCCAAGGGATCTGATAGCCTTTTCTGGCCTCTCCAGGTACCTATATATACATGGCGCATACACAGATTCATATATACACTTAAATGAAAATAAATCTTTTTTATAAAACACAAAACAGGGGCTAGAGAGATGGCTCAGAGATTAAGAGCACTGACTGCTCTTCCAGAGGACCCAGGTTCAATCCCTAGCAACCACATGGTGGCTCACAACCATCTGAATAAGACCTGGTGCCCTCTTCTGGCTTACAGGGATAGGCAGAACAGTGTATGTGTATATATATATATATGTGTGTGTGTATGTGTGTGTGTGTGTTTATAAAGACATAAAACAATCCCAAATATACAAAAATTCATAAAAACAACCCACAAATAAACAATTTCTCACCACTGTAAACATTAATAAAAATTTTCCATATGTGTTAAAATACAGCTAATATGTTTAAATAGCAGCATTCAAAGTAAACTACCACCATCTTTTCAATATCAGTGACATTCAGACTCTTGACAAAGACCAGTAGTATTTGTTAATGTGACAAAAAAAGACAAGACTGATGGTGTACATAGCAGAAAGTAGTCCTGGCCAAAGTTCCAACTTGAACCTTGCCAACCTTGAGAGAGAAGACAGGAAAGCATGCTAATTCACTCCCAATAACCCCTATAATTTACGGACACTATTTGAATTCTGATTCAAACAAACAGTAGGAAAAAAAACTACAAAGAATTGCCTGTTCTTTTCTTTTCTTTTTTTCTTTTTCTTTTTTTTTTCTCAAGACAGTGTTTTTCTATGTAGCCCTGGCTGTCCTGGAACTCACTTTGTAGACCAGGCTGGCCCAGAACTCACAGTGATCAGCCTGCCTCTTCCTCCTGAGTGCTGGGATTAAAGGTATGCGCCACTACCACCTAGCGACTGTTAAATTTGTAAACACAATGAAAGCTACCATCTTTATTTAAAAAAAAAAAACCTTTTAGAGAAAAGTACTAAATTATCGAATTATTTATGGAATGAATGATATCTCTCATTAGTATCAAAATAATTGGAGGGTGGTGGAAACTACCCATGAGAGAGTAATTGGTCAGACTGGGTATATATATATATATATGGGGGACCATTATGCTATTTTACGTAATTTTATATATATTTTAAACTTTTTCATTCCAAAAAGTAAAGACAAACTGACGTTTTCCGTTTCCTCTTCTTTTCTTTTTTCTTAGCTTTCTTTGCTCTTCTTTTTGTATCTTCATCTGAAAATGAAAGCGCATATTATTGAAAAACTTGACATTCAAAATTCCAATATTTTAACAGGTAAATATTCCGTTGTCACAAATATTCATTTGTTGTTACAGAGAAATTTATTCATTCTAAGATTTACTGAAATTTTCCAGGAATTATACTAGGGGCAGGAGTCAAAGTAATTAAAATCATACACCAGCAAGATGGCTCAGTGGGTAAAATGCTTACTGTCAAACCTGATGACTTGAATTTGAGCCCCAGAACTACATGGTGGAAAGAGAAGTGATTCCTATAAGTTATCCTCTGATCTCTGCACACTGGCTGTGGCGTGTATGAGTGCATACACATAAGCACATACAATAAATAAATAAGTGTAAATAAGTTAAAGACACATAAGCACATACAATAAATAAATAAGTGTAAATAAGTTAAAGTCACACTAAGTATTAATGATATAGAGAATCTATTTATTATATATCATTAATTTATTATTCATTGAGTTAATGGCATTGGTTAAGTAGGAAAATGTCCTATTTCAAAGAGGTGCATATAGAAATATTCATGGAATGATAGTCAATGAACTTACTCTGAATAGATCATCAACTTCCCCAACTCCCATATTTTACACAAATATGTCAAAATGCTAACAAAAGCTAATAATGATGACGATGATGATGAACACATTATTCTCTTTACTTCCCTAAGAATTGTTAAAGTTTCATAGTGAGAAAAAGAAAAACAAAAGGAACCCACTCTGTGTGCTAGAGGAAGACAATGCTTTTCATAACTCAGAGGGATGGAGATGAGATGGTAATGAAATGAGCATAATATGGGCGGACAGAGAAAAGCATGGGGGCATGTGGATACAGAGGAGTCTTCAAATCAGCCAAACATGCACTGGCAAGATGACTCAGTTGGTAAGCGTGCTTAGCTGAGCTTGAGAACCCGAGTTCAATCCCCAGAACCCATGTGGTGGAAGGAGAGAAACTTCCACTCCTCAAAGTTACTCTCTGACTTCCAAGCATATACTGAGGTGTGCACAGCCATATTCATACACACATATGCACAAACTAAATGATTAACATGTAATCAAAAACATGACTGATTTGGGAAGATAATTAAGGAATGGTTGACCTGGAAGCAGTGACTAGGAGTTTTTCAAATCGGCTTATTACAAAAGTACTGCATGTCCATTGCTGCACTGTGTAAGCCAACGTGGATGCAGGGAGTTTTAAAGGCAGAGGGCCTGCTGTACCAAGTGACACATACTTAACTGTACAAAATTAAATAAATAGGAAAAATTGAAATGTAATCAGAAAACTAACATGGCCATAATTATGGTTATAATTCAACAAATTTTTAAAAAGCTGAGGGCTAGAGAGCTGGTTTAGCAGCTAAGACCACTGGCTGCTCTTCCAGAGGACTACCAGAACTCACATGGTGATCTGTAACTCAAGTTCCAGGGGATCTGACACCCTCTTCTAGTCTCAACAGGCAGAGGGAAGACAAAACACCATTCACATAACATTTTTAGCAATTAAAATGCATTCTAGGATTTGCAGAATGCTACAGTTTTCTCACCACTGGAGTCTGTTTCAGATTCAGAGTCACTGTCACTGTCTTCAGAATACTTCTTGTGTTTTCTTTTAGATGACTTTTTCTTTCTCTTTTTCTTGGATCTTTCTTTTGAATGACTAGACTTCCTCTTCTTCTTCTTTTCATCTGTTGTAAATACAAATGAAAACAAACTTCTTCAGTAGTATTTCTGGACATCTTACTATATTTGAAATAGCTATTTGGTAGTCTAATGTTCAATTATTTACAAAGATACTTTTAAAATTTGTGAATTAATAAGCTCCTTATTTTACAAAATTACCTTCTGAACTAGATGCTGAAGTAGTGCTTTTCTTTGGCTCTTCATCCTCTACTGGTGTATGTTCATCAGAGCTGAATTATAGAAAACAGTTGGAAGAAATATTTACCATGGGGCATTAAAATATGCACTTAAAATTTTTCAGTAACAGCAGTCATTGCCTAGGAACCTTTATTTATTTTTTTTATTTTTTGGTTTTTCGAGACAGGGTTTCTCGGTGGCTTTGGAGGCTGTCCTGGAACTCACTTTGTAGACCAGGCTGGCCTCGAACTCACAGAGATCCGCCTGCCTCTACCTCCCAAGTGCTGGGATTAAAGGCGTGCGCCACCAACGCCCGGCGCCTAGGCACCTTTAAAGACAAGCATTTAAAATTATTGTTGTTATTATTTTTATTATTATTATTTTATCTTACATGTAGGGGCATGTGTGCCTGGTGCTCACAAAGGCTAGAGGAGGCATCGAATCCTCTGGAATTGGAGTTACGGATGAGTTATGAAATAGCTGTTATATGGGTGCTGTAATCAAACTCAGGTTACCTAGAATAGGCAGTGCTCTTAACCACTGAACTCTCTCTCTAGCCCTCAAAGGCAATCATTTTTTGTGAGAGGATATTCAGAAGTCTACCATCTTCATAATAGTAAAATGACTTATATTTATATAAAGCTTTCAAGTTTACACAGTACTGTTAAAAAAGCAATGTGTAAGATTAATATTTTCAGAAAAAATCACAAGATGAAAGTTTAGAAATAGAAAACATGCGGAAAGACCAAGAAAAGCCAAACATGAAGACTGATGGAAGAGTTCATGATTTTATTATTATTTTCTCTGTGTGTACACTACTGTAGAGGTCAGAGAACAATTTTCAGGATTTGGTTATCCTTCTACCCCATGTGAGTCCCATGGATCAAAATGAAGTTGTCAGAGTTGGCAGCAAGCACCTTTACCTGTTGAAAATTACCTGGGTGATTTTCCTTTGAGACAGGGTCTCTAGACCATGCTGGGAATGAACTCTCTATGACGCTAAGGATATTCTTTCACTTTTGACCCTCCTGCCTCTACCTCTTCAATCCTGAGATTATAAATCACATGCCACCATGACTGGTTTATTTGGTGCTAGAGATCAAACCCAGGGTCTTATGCATTCTGGACAAGCACTCTAACAGCTGCTATCTGCTCAGCAACTTAGAGTATGCACTGCTCTTGCATAGGACCTGAGCTTGATTCCCAGCAGCCACACTGGATGGCTCACAATCACCTATAACTCTAGCTCCAAGGAAATCTGATATTGCTGGCCTCTGGGGCACTAGCTGTGCATACCCATGGAAACCCACACAACAGACATAATTAAAAGGTGATACACACCTTTAATCCCAGCACTCGGGAAACAGAGGCAGGCAGATCTCTGTGAGTTTGAATGCAGCCTGGTCTACAGAATGAGTTCCAGACCTGCCAGGGCCACATAATGAGACTTTGAAAAAATAGTAAATAAATCTATTTTTTTCTTAATTCTTTGGGACAGGCTCTAAAAAATAAAGATGCTTTGATGGTACCAAAGGAAAATTCTCATATTGTATCATCCTTTCCTTTAAAGTTTTGAGGATCACACATGAAATAACTTAGCTATTATTTATCAAAAATATTTTTAGGGTTTCCTTTAATTTTCATTCAATGAGTTCAAGTATCTATAAGAACAAGTGTCAGATAATATTGTTTTATCACCCTGACACAAATTATAGGTTTCTTGTTAAGCACACTGTCTCAAAAATAGTCCAAGAGTGGAGTGGAGCTGGGCAGGGTAGTTCATGCCCTTAATCCCCAGTCAGATCTGAGTTTAAGGATACCCTGGTCTACAGTGAGCTGCTAGTAAGTTCTGAGATAGCCAGGCCAGGGCTACACAGAGAAACCTTTCATAAAAAACAAAATATAAATAAATAAACAAATACATACATACATAAATACATAAATAAATAAATGTAGGGCCAGCACATTAAAGGTCCTTGCTGTCAAGTCTGATGATCTGACTTCGATCCTTTGAATCCATAACTAACATTTAAAAAGAAAATAAGTATGGACTAAAAAGAACTAGGCCTTCAGAGCATTAGATATAGGAAACATTTTTAATGTAGACTTGCAACCCTGAAACCACAGGAGGGAAAAACTTTCAAGATAGAAACACACAGGATGAAAAAGTTGCTCAGTGGTTAGTACACCGGTTGCTCTTTGTAGAGGACCCAGGCTTACTTGATTCCCAGCAGCCACATGACAGTTGCCAGCCATCTGTAACTCCAGTTTCAGGGGCTCTAATAATGCTCTCTTCTGACCTCTGCAGGCCCAGGGTGTGCATGCAGTACATTTAAATACAATGTAGGCAAAACACTTAGAAAACAAAATATTTTTTCTAAAAAAGATAGGCATAAGCAAGAGCTTTCTAAATAGGATGCCAGTTGTTCACTAAATAAATCCCTAGATAAACATATGGGTCCTTGTGAGATGAAAACCCCTTGTACAGAAAAGAAAACTGAGTGAAGGAAGAGTCAGCTTACAGAATGGGAAAAAATCTTACTACCTATACACCTGGCCTGGGAGGGTACCAAGATTATACAAGGAACCAAAAAAAAAACTAATCAAGACATCAATACAATAAATAAAAAGGCAGTGGCGCACGCCTTTCATTCCAGCGCTCAGGAGGCAGAAACAGGTGGATCTCTGTGAGTTTGAGGCCAGCCTGGTCTACAGAGTGAGTTCCAGGACAGCCTCCGAAACAATACAGAGAAACCCTGTCTCAAATAAATAAATAGGCTAATGAAATAGACAGTTTTCAAAAGACAATAAACAATAATCATACAAAAATGTTCAATCTCACTATCCATCAGTGAAATGCAAATGAAAACTATAATGAGAGTCCATCTTACCCCAGACTAGTATGACAAACATTAAGAAAGCAACTAGGTACAGGGTCTGTTGAGGATGTGGAGAACAGGGGGCCCTTATATACAGCCAGTTGGAATGTAAAGTAATTCAGCTTCTGTGGAAAACAGTATGGAGATTTCACAAAAAAAAACAACAAAAAATAGATCTGCCATAGAATCTAGCTATAGCACTCCTGAGTATCTGCCTGAAAGACTACAAGTCATCACATCACAGAGACACTCACACAGCAATGTAAGCTGCAGGCTCACGGCAGCTCAGTAATGGCACAAACTAGGGATCCAACGACAGAGGGATAGACTTAAAGATGTAGTGCATGTGCACAGTGGAAACATTTTCAACCAAAAAGAATGGAGTTACATCACGTACAGGGAAGCGGGTGCAATAGGAAGTAATCCTATTGAGCAAATTAGGCCAGTCTCACAAATACAAATTTCCTATTTTAATCCCAGATTTCATATAGACACATAAAATCATGCATGTATAAAAACAAAACTGTTTAGGGGAACAAAGGGACACATGGGGCGGGGATTATTGACAATGAACAATGTTATATATGTATGAATTTTTTCAATTTAGGGGCCAGAGAAGTAGCTCAGTTGATCAAATGTTTATCACACAAGCATGAGGACCTGAGTTCAGATCCCCAGCACCCACAGAAAAATTATGGGTGGGGTGGCACTCACCTGTAATTCCAGCACTTGGAGAGACAGAGACAGGAGGATCCCTAGGGTTTGCTGGTAAACCAATCAAGCTCACTGGAGCAGCACCAGGTTTACTGAAAAACTGTCTAAAAACTTGGGTGCTGGACTAGCAAGGTGCCTTAGCAGATAGGGGCACTTGATCCCAGCCCTAACAACTTGAATTATATCTCTTGGAATTCACATGATGGAAGAAGATAACCAACCCCTGCAAGTTGTCATCTGACCTCCAGATGTGATATGGGAGCATGTGCACGCTCGCGAACACACACACACACACACACACACACACACACACACACACACACACACACACACACAGTGAGAGAGAAAATAAATAAATGTAAATTTAAAAAGATAGAGGACCCTAAGAGACAAATACGTGGATCTGCCTAGAAAGGGGGAAAAGACAAGATCTCCTGAGTGAATTGGGAGTGTGGAGGACAGGAGGAAGTGTGGAAGGGGCAAGAGGAAGAGGGAAGGGGAGTGGGGAAAACGAATACCTCAATTAAATAAATAAATATTACTGCAAATGCTCACTTAAAATAAGTGGATTTTATGGACTATAAATTATAACCTCAATAAAGCTGCTATAAATGTTAAAACAAGAATAAAACGATATGGCTGGGCAGTGGAGGCTTGCGCCTTTAGTCCCAGCACTCAGGAGGCAGAGACAAATGGATCTCCGTGAGTTCAAGACCAGCCTGGACTGCAGAGTGAGTGCCAGGATAGCCTCCAAAGCTACACAGAGAAACCCTGTCTGGAAAAAAAAAAGAATAAAGCGATACTATTTTAAAAACTAAGGTAGAGATCACAGAAAACATCTGACATCAAATTCTGCCTGCCCCTGCACACAATCACTCGCACACACTAATTTTTTTAGGCTTTTGAGTGTTTATGTTTCCCAACTCACTAGCCCATTTCCACCAACAGGAGGGCCTTCTTTCTTAGTAAATTACCTCTATTTTTATCACTGATGCTAATACCTAGCAGTCTGATAGTGGGTTAGTTGAAAAAAAGCAATGAAAAATAATATAAACATATTATTTTAATTAATGAGCAAGGAAATTAGTGCTTCATGAGTTAGAATTTAAAGACAGCAATTAAGCTAACCATGGTGATCTATGCCAGTAATTCCAGCATTCAGGGGGTTAAGGCAGGAGGACTACTGTGAGTTTGAGTTCTGCCTTGGTTGTTTCAACACAGTGGGTTCCAAATAGCTTGGAGTACAGAATGAGACCATGTCTCAAAAACAAAACAAAACAATAATGAATGTGCTAAAATCTACTAGCAGTATCTGTAATCATTACCCATGTTCCATGTTGTTTTTTTTTTCCCCGAGACAGGGTTTCTATGTATTATTTTGGAGGCTGTCCTGGAACTTGCTCTGTAGACCAGGCTGGTCTTGAACTCACAGAGATCCGCCTGCCTCTGCCTCCCTAGTGCTGGGATTAAAGGCATGCGCCAACAACGCCCAGCCCCATGGTTTTTTTTTTAATATGGAGGTAAAATAGCATAAATCATAAGAAAGCAAAAAAAAATCTGATAAGTACTTGAAGCTCTTCACTTAAAAAATTTTTTGGCAGTAGGGCTGGTGGAGCTGGATCAGTAGGTAAAGGCGCTTACTGCTAAGCCTGACGACCTGAGTTCAATCCCTGGGACCCACATGGTAGAAGGAGAGAACCGACTCCTGCAAGTTGTCCTCTGACCTTCACCTGTGCACATACACACATGTATAGATAAATAAAATGTAAGAAAATATAATTAAAAACACTTTGACTGCAGACCAGGATTTAAACAAATGCTATTAACACTTTAAAATGATATATTTTTTAACCCTCTTACTCTGGTTCAGGATTCTTCGGAGAAAGTCCCCAAACTTCAGGAGCTCCCAATTCTCCAATTCTCTCTCTTTCACTTAATCTCCTAAAAGAGATAAATATTTAAATTATAACTCAATGGATGGACTGTTTCCTAAACATATAATAAAACTCAACAGGAATTAAGTCTTCTAGCATTATTTTCCCCATATGTCTTTTGAGACAGGATCTTACCATGTTGCCTAGGCTGACCTTGAACTCCTGAGCTCAAGGAATCCAGTTTTCCAAGTAGCTGAGGCTATAGAAACACCTGGATATATCTATATGTTTGAAAAGTAAATAAAACTTGGTTTAAATCTAAACTCATTAAGTAGGATTTGATGTTCTGATAGTATCATCAACTGGTATAAACTACAGAGTCCCTCAGTGGCAGTGGCAGAAATGGCAGTCAGACAGACAGACAGACAACAGACAGGGCATCCCTTTTGCTGAATGTGTGGCATAGCTTCTATCTGCCTATTTAACTGCAAAGCATAACAGAAAGGTCTTGGGGGGAATTGGTTTTAGTTTTTTGGTTTTTCGAGGCAAGGTTTCTCTGTGTAGCTTTGGATGCTGTCCTGGAACTCTTTCTGTAGACCAGGCTGCCTTGAACTCACAGAGATCCGCCTGCCTCTGCCTCCCAAGTGCTGGGATCAAAGGTGTGCACCACTGTGACCACCCCTAGCTAAGAAAGTTTTATATTTAAAAATATAATCATTCATGGGGTTGGTGGCACACACCTTTAGTCCGAGCACTCAGGAGACAGAGGCAGGCAGATCTCTGTGAGTTCGAGACCAGCCTGGTCTACAAGAGCTAGTTCCAGGACAGCCTCCAAAGCTACACAGAAAAATCATTCATTTATGTATATTTATAAAGATAGGAAAATCTTTTGATTTGGTCAAACCTTTCAGGAACCCAGGAATTAGTGAAGCAGATAAAGATGAAATGAAAATAAAGGAAGGAAATTTTTCTTTGACAAAAACTCCTCATGCCACATAAGGTTTATTACCAGTTTTCCTTTTAGATACTTTTTGGAGAAGGAATATATTCTCTACTTTTGGGAGGACAGTCTTCATTTTACGTATGTGACTAATTCTGCTTTAATATTTACTACTACTCATAAACTTAAAATACAAACTCTGGGCTGGAGAGCTGGCTCAGTGGTTAAAAGCACATGCTGTTCTTACAGAGGACTGGAGTTTGGTTCCCAGCATCCAAGATGGTTTACTCTCAGTTGCCTATAATTCCAGCCCCAGGAGATCTGATGCTTCTGGCCTCCCAAGGCATCTACACTCACATGTACATATCAATATACAGACACACATACATACACATAGCTAAATTATAATAAAATAACACCAGATGTGATGTTTGATACCTTCAGTCCCAAGACTTTGGGGGGCAAGGGCAGGCAGATCTCTCTGTTTGAGGCCAGCCTGATCTACACAATAAGTTCCATGATGGCTATCTAGCAAGGCCTTGTCTCAACCTCTCCCCCCAAAAAACAAGTAAAATAAAAATAATTACTTGAAAATAAAAATAATTATTTGAAGGAGAAAAAAAAAACAGCATTCCTTAAAGTGTAGCGGCTTGCAACTCAGTTTTTAAAAAGACACTACAACAGAAATATAATTGGCTTGAATTTCTTTTAACTTCTTTAATCATGGAAAAAGGTATTTTTTGTTGTTTTTTTTTTTTGTTTTTTGTTTGGTTTTTCGAGACAGGGTTTCTCTGTATTGTCTTGGAAGCTGTCCTGGAACTCGATCTGTAGACCAGGCTGGCCTCGAACTCACAGAGATCCACCTGCCTCTGCCTCCCGAGTGCTGGGATTAAAGGTGTGCGCCACCAACGCCCGGCCACGATTTTTTTTAATTTGGTCAAAACAGATCATTGTAATTGCTGGAGAAGACTGCCTGTCCAACCACAAAGGACACAAAAAGTCTCATACCTGATGCTCATTTTTAAACACTGGTACGAAACCTAGTACCGTGCCTAAGACATAATGTTTAATACACACAATAAACTTCATATCATCTAAAAGTAAAATGCTAACTTCATCCCAGCAATTACAACATTCCAGTAAATCTTCTCCACCTCTTTTTTAGACTGGATCTCATGTAGTAGGGTCTAGCTAGCCTTCAACTTCTGATGGTTCTGACCATTTCTCAAGTGTTGGGATTAGAGACATGCGCTCACAAAACTCCTGGCTCTTCTTTGCTTTTTGACTGACATACTCTGTGGGTACTATACCATGCTGAACAGTTTAAATTGGAGAGGTAACATTCAGAACTGTAGCCAGGCAGTGGTGGCACATGCCTTTAATCCCAGCACTCAGGAGGCAGAATCAGGAAGATCTCTGCTCCATGGCAAACAAAGCCTTCAAACTCAGGCAGTGTGACTGGGAAGCCTGCCTTTTTTTTTTAACTATATTTCCTCCCCACTGGAAGAAGAAAAATCATGAAAAATCTCTCCACAGTTGGAAAGCTAACTTGCGCCTCAATGCCTGTATTACTTTAACGTTTATCCTTTTTAAACACACAGTACAAGGCCTAATACAATGCCTAGGACCAAAGGTTTAACAAAGCTAATAAACTTCATAAATATCAGATACTATGACTAATGCAGGAATACAAGCCTCTCTCTCAAGGCCTCACTCTCCGTCAGGTCAATCTTGAATTTATTCTGTAGTCAGGCTGGCCTCCAACTAATTATGGCAATCCTGCCCCGGCATTCTGAATGCTAGAATTACGGGAGTGAGCCATCATGCCCAGCTTTTTAAATGCAAGTATTTTTGTGACGTGGTCTCATGCATACCAGGCTGGCCTTAAACTTGCTATGTAGATGAGGAGAGACAGGGTTTCTCTGTATTGTTTTGGAGGCTGCTCTGTAGACCAGGCTGGCCTCGAACTCACAGAGATCTGCCTGCCTCTGCCTCCGGAGTGCTGGGATTAAAGGCGTGCGCCACCAACGCCCAGCACTGTGGGTCTTTTTAAACTAAGAACTCCATTAGAGAGCAGATCTCATTCTTTCATTGTTTTTCCAAGTCAGCTGAGACCACTTTGTAAAACTCTTCCTAATGTGGCCTCATCTACAGCTTGGCAGAGCACTTTTCTGTACATTCCTGTAATCCTGCATAGAGGAAGATTTTCCTCCTATACAATACAGGTCCTTAGTTAATCCTTCCCAAATACCCACAAAACTCCCACTGACACATCCTGTTATCTCGAATTTGTCTGTTCCTTCATGCAACAAGCAACGGTTGCTTGCCTACCAAGAGGCAGGCAATACTAATTCTGTGATCTAGAAAAATAGGATCTCTACCTTCCACACGTCCACTTTAGTGAAGAATAAAGACAAGCCCACAGATAATGGCACAACCAAGGAAATACAATAGAGGTGAGGCTGCTAGCAATATCCGCCTGCAAAGACAGGGGAGGAAGTAGGAAGAGGGAAAACAGGGCAGTTTATGCAGGAGTCTAAGGATGAATGAGAATGTAAGTTAGAAGGATAAATAAAAAGGTCTGGGGTGGACTGAAGAAAAGGATGAAAAAGGTGCGAGGCGGGTGGGAAGCGGAATACAAACAGAAACAATGAACGACGAGCTGGATTCAAAACAGGCGGACTCGTCCAAGAGAGGGTGCGGCGATCTCACTCACTTCTGCCGCAGACTCTCCTCCCTCTCCTTGTCCAGCAGGCTTGGCCATGGCTTGTCGCCCCCGTAGGGGCGCGAGTAGCCGCCATAATAGGCGGAGGATGCAAAAGCAAAAGGGGCACTGCGCTGCGTAGAGGGCCGCTCTCGGGAACGCGACCGGGAGCGGGAACGGTAAGATTGCTTGCGAGAGCTTTGACTGAAGCTACTCAGCGAATGGCTGAGGCCATTCCGGTCACAGAACCGAGAACAAGAGCGCGAGCGAGAGCGGCGACCCCGCGGGGAGCGGGAAGACTTGCTGGGCTTAGGGCTCCTCGACGGACTGCGTCGTTTTCCCCCGGAGGCCTCCCGTTCAGGGCTCCGCGAGCCTGACACAGGAGCCATGGCGGTGGAAGCCGATCCCGCCAAGGGGCGGGGCAAGAGCGCGCCCGCGGCTCCTCGGAGGGTCTCGGACGCCTCGGGTCCAAGAGCCCGCAGCGTTCACCACACCAGAAAAAATGCGTGCAGACAGTTCCGGGTACGTCGGTAAACCCCTTCCCCTGGACCCAGGCTCCTCCGTGTAGCCAACAGGAAGGGATGTGTGTGTGTGTGTGTGCGCGCGCGCGCGCGCGCGCGTGTGTGTTAGTGTATAGAAGCCGGTCAGGAAACTCGAGCAACGGGCCCATACAGTTCCTAGTGAGGTTTCTGATTTTTTTCCCCCTTCGGTTTTTCGAGACAAGGTTTCTCTGTGTGGCTTTGGAGGCTGTCCTGGAATTTGCTCTGTAGACCAGGCTGGCTTCGAACTCACAGAGATCCGCCTGCCTCTGCCTCCCGAGTGCTGGGATTAAAGGCGTGCACCACCAACGCCCGGCAAGGATTCTGAAATTTAAACTGCACCGAACACTAATTCTTTTTCCAATCTGAAACTCTAATACCTGAAGGAAAGTTACGATGAATGCACTACATACTTCACTGAGTGGCTGTGTGAACAACACCGCCAATTCTAAATGTGCCTCGTGGGCGATTATATTTGCCTGTAGGGTGTAAATTTATGAAATCTGTGTATGTATCACGCACACACGCACCGCTCCTTTTTTTTTCTTCGAAATCGTAGGCAAACTAAGAGGGTTTATCACGATTAAGGTTAAGCTTTGACCTAAGAGCCTTGTTGTCCAGTTTGCTTAGAAGGCATATATTCTGATAAAACTTCAGTCTGTTAAACTCCGATTAAATTAGCATCCCAGAGGAAAATCCTAGTACTTAGCTCCCAGCATTCATCTCTACCAGTGTCACACAAAACTAATTTGTTCACCCCCTAAACTAGTCCATTATACACAAGCCCAGCAATATATGGTAAATGATCCGTAATTGTATTTATTAAGTACTATTTTTAAGTAAAAGCATCCAAATACTAATTTTGATTTGATATTTAAATCTCTTGAAATTACATCATTTCCTCCTTCCCCTTTCTCCCTGTAAACTTTCCCATGTGCAAGGGGTGTCCTCTTTTTCTTTAATTGTTGTCACATATATTTCTAAATATGTAAATATGCTTTTAAAATAATTTATTTTGTGTGTGCCAGGGAGTCGTGTGTGTTGTTCCCAAGTTGCAAAGTCCCCAGAGACCACCAGGAAGACCCACCAAACTGCAAAAGCAAGATTTAATGATTGTTCATCCAACCATGACAGGGACCCCCTCTAGCAAGCTAACGCAGCAGCCTCCAGAGGGAATGAAGTTCCCTGTCTAATCCTAGGTTTTATAGACAAAAGTCACAGGATTACATCAGTAGGTACAGGTTGGTTTCTGATTGGTTGACATTTGGAAACAATCAGGAGAACTTGTCAAAGTCATATTTTGGCATGAAATACCTGTGTACCAATTATTCTCATTGGTCAGTGCTGACAGGGAACATTGTGTGGTTTCTATGACATTGTCTTGTCACTTGCAGGTGGCCTGTTGTTCATAGATACCAATAGTTTTCAGAACTATATCCTGGCGACTATAGGGGAGGTTTTGGTCTCCCCTGGAGTTTCTTTTGTGGCCAAACATTTCCCAGGAACCAAGCATCTAGGAGGCTTGGGGAGGGGGGATGACAGAACTGGAGTTTCTTTGTGTTCAGTTTTGGCCCTAGCCAGAGGATCTTGAGTTTCCTTGTGTCAGAGGCCTACGTGTCTCTTCTGTAGCCTGTCATGGTTACTAAAGCAGGGGGCTGAATGAGGGTCTGGTCCCTTTATTTCTAAATTATTAGAAGTGAAGCCTTTGAGTTTAATTTACCCCTTTCATCCCTTCTCTTCTTATAGCTAACCCAATCCTGGGTTACTAGTGGACAATTTTCATTGTTATCTTGTCCCCTATGTAAGGGAGTTTTCTTTGACTTAGTATCTTAACCAGGGAAAAGGGGTGACGTATTCTTTTCTGTGCTACTTCCTGCTGACATTGGGGTGTTGTAGTCAGGGCTCCAAGTAGGCTGAAATGCTAGTCAAAAGCAAAGAGGGAATTTAGGCAATGGAGTATTTATCAGAAGCATCTTGTTGGCAGACTCTGTTGAAGAAACAGGGAGTGTTCACATTGGCTGGACTGGTTTACATCCATAGCAAATCTAGAGTTTGCAGTCTTTAGGAGCAGGCTGTAGTCAACAACTGATGCTCAGATGTGTCTGCCAGAAGTGGAAACCAGAAGCGGGAATCTGTTTGAGAAATGTTTAAATTGGGAACAGAAGTTTAAACTTATATACTTAATCAGAACTTTTAGGTCCATAGCTTTAGTGATCTGGAAGGGCAGGAGACTCAAGACAAGGGGAGAAAAATCCCTTCCTCAGAAACAGACAGGTGTGATATCAAAAAGCTGTACTTATCTGGAGTCCTTTTGACCTGTGAGAAGTGGATCCAAGCTTTATGACCTTTGATCCTCTGAAGCCTATATGAACTTTATTATATAAACATATGAGTATTACCAATCTGTACCAAAATCTACATTGTAGAAAAAACAGATATCAGGTATCTGTAAAACAGCAGGATCAGACTCATACCTTTTGTCCTAGTAAGAACTACAGGTTTGAGTTAGAAGTGTGTACATTTTTCTTCTGTCCAGTGAGTCAGGTATAGATTGGACAGAGGTGCCTTTGGCCTGATGAAAAGCCCTTTAAGTTTATATTTAGATGACAATTAAAATAAATAAATGAGCTATTAAGCTAGCTACAGTCTAACCCTTAATACTAGCAGAGATCTGAGAATGATAAATTTTATACAGTTTTTGAATCTATTAAAAATGACAGGGTCGGGCTGGAGAGATGGCTCAGAAGTTAAGAGCACTGACTACTCTTCCAGAAGTCCTGAGTTCAATTCCCAGCAACCACATGGTGGCTCACAACCATCTACAATTCAATCTGGTGCCCTCTTCTGGCATGTAGACAGAACATTGTATATGTAATAAATAAATAAATCTTTTAAAAAATGACAGGGCCCAGTCCATATACAGTTAGTCATACCCAAGTCTCCATTAGCAGGTAGAAATATCAAAGAATAGCATCAACTTGGCCAGGCCTACAAGGTGAGAGTTTTTCTCTCTGCGGAAGAGAGACATGGAAAAGACTGACCTTATTTTGTCTAGTCAAAAGGGGTGCAATTAATTCTCCAATGTCCTGTTGCTTGTGCACAGTCTGGGCCAGGTCCTGGCAGCAGGTGTGCATTGGGGCATCCTGCCCCTGGTCAACGTTGTGTAGACATCGAGGTGACCTGTAATCTTCTTTGTAGACTTTGGGTCACTGTCAGGATCTGGAATTCTCTGATATTATAATTAACATTTTAAATGCTAATTCTGTAGATCTCTGGAAGCAGTAAGAGTGTTGTCTAGGTAAATCTGGATAGACAACTTTGTTTTTAGTTATTTGTTTTAAGCTTAACCTTTGAAAACATATACAGGGGACTGAGTAAGGTTTATCCCTGTTATAAATTTTTTTTGTACTTAATCTGACTACAATGGCATTAATGCAGGATCTGTCTGGAGAACTGGATTCAAACTGAGAGGCTGTGGAGGGATGTTTTACTCAGAGCCCTCCAGCCTGACTGTAAGCTGTTTTACCTTAGCAAACAGACAGGACATTTAAAGAGACAGAGTAACTTCAAACTGTCGGTGACAAGAATGTAGACCCGAATGTAGATGAAACAGGCAGGATTTTTGTATGTAATGTGTGCCCTACCGGGCCCTGGAAAGGCATGACCTTCTGCAAATAAGTCATGTATAACAGAGCCAGTGAAAGAAGAAAACTGTCAGTGACCAAAATAAAAGGCAAAAAAGGTAAATGACTTATGTCTGGCAGCAGAGTTTTTTGGCAGAAGCTGACTAGATTGTCCCTCTGTCTAGGCTGAGGGAAGGGGGTAACCTAGATTAAAAATAAAATACCAGCCGGGCGTTGGTGGCGCACGCCTTTAATCCCAGCACTCGGGAGGCGGAGGCAGGCGGATCTCTGTGAGTTCAAGGCCAGCCTGGTCTACAGAGCGAGTTCCAGGACAACCTCCAAAGCCACAGAGAAACCCTGTCTCGAAAAACCAAAAATAAATAAATAAATAAATAAAATAAAATACCTTTATGTCCTTAAAACCATTATCACCTGGGTGACTGTTAAATTATAAAGTTTATATAAAAATTTTTAGAACATAAAACTCTGAGTAGATTTTATTGCTTCTTAAAAGGGGGAAGGCACAAGTCAGAAACAGGAGTCTCTTGTTCCACAGACTGAGGTGCACTCTCCCAGCCCCACATCTCTTTGTCAGCGATTGGCCATGCATGAAGGGCTGGGAAAATGGACTTACTTTTTTTTTTCTGGTACAAGTTATGTGAAAAAGTTTAAGCAACCTCACGTCTGATAGAAAACCTATATAAAACTCAACAGTGACATAAACAAATGATCCAAGTAGAAAAATGGGCAAAAGACATGAACAGACATTTTATTACCAAGGATATACAGATGGCAACATCATATTAACCCATTAAAACCTGTACCTTGGCCATTTTGCTTGAATTGGCTGTTAGCCTCCCAAGGTGAGGCACAGCACAGAAAGACTGTGTCCAGGTACCAGGGGAGCACTGGTCTACAGCCAGCAGCTGGGGTGATCCATTTTATGGGAGCTACTGTGTGTAGTCACCATAAATGACTATTATTTTATATTTTTCCTATGGAAGTCAAAGTATACAGTATACAGACTAGAAGGGAGGAGGAGCAGCGCTGGGGAGCACAGAGTGTCTTTGGCTGCCAGTGTTCCTGAAAGAAAAAAAAATTCCCAACCTTTTTAGTCATGATCCCAGATTCTCTGTTTCATGTCCTTTCAATGGGTAAGGTAGAGATGTAGAGAGGAGGAGGGTGTCTGTCCCATGTTAGGTTGCGTCCCAGTCAGGTCCCTACTGTCAGTACCGTCAAGACAAGACAAACAAATAAACACAGCACTTAGACAAAGAAAGGGGCCTATCTCAAAGACTTGCAAGTTTCAGATTCATAGTCGGGAGGCAAACTCCCCAGTAGCTACTCAGATTCAGATGGTGCATCAATTAGCCGGATTTTTACCCAAATTCAGATTCAGAAGACGGGATTCGAGCCCA